TCCCAAACAAACAACACTACCGCTTTCTCCAACAGATGTTCCGTAAGCTCCAAGACTTCACAGAAGGAATCCTCATACTGGGAGGAGACTTCAATATCACGCTAGACCCCACCTGGGATTGCTCCATAGGTACATCTCATGTCCCGACTCAACAACTCCAACTTGTCAAATCCCTATTAAGGGAACACCGACTTGTTGACTGTTGGAGGGCCTACCATCCCGATGAAAAAGATTACACCTTCTTCTCTCACCCACACAGCTCCTATTCCCGCATAGACCACATCTACACGACACATTATAACCTTCCCTGGGTCATAGATGCTACAATCGGGGTAGCAACCTGGTCGGACCACGCACCGGTAATACTCACACTTAAATCTCTGCTTTTCTGCCCCACTACATCGAAGTGGCGACTCACACTACAGACGTTCCAAAGAGACATGAGAGACTGGTCATTCCCACACATATCGTGGTTGGGGAGAGTCCAGGTAGTAAAGATTAACTTTTTCCCGCGCTTACTATACCTCCTTCAGGCTATACCTATCACGATACCCAAAACATTCTTTAATACCCTTATAACTGCAATGACTAAATATATATGGAATAACCGAAGACCCAGAATAAGATTAGCCACAATAATTCAACCCAAGGACAGAGGGGGTCTAGCCCTCCCAGAATTTCACCTATACTATGTGGCCACACACCTCCAGAGGGTGGTGGAATGGTCGAAAGATAGAGTAACCAAGCTATGGAAGGTGGTGGAGGAGACAGAAGCAGGTAGACCGATCTCAGAGCACCCTGGGGCCAGGACCCCACGGGCAAGGGGGAAATGTCCATATACACAAAACACACACACTAGGCGTATGGTGGAAGGCTGCAAAAGCAGGGAACCTGGCACCATACCCTTCCCCTCTCCTACCACTGACCCATAATGAAGACTTCCGACCGGGGTTGGACCCAAGAGCATTTAAAGATATTCTCCCAATCCCCTTGTTATGTCACAAGTGGTTTAAATGTGGAACACAACTGCAGAACATAAATTTCCTTATTTTTATTATAGAGAGTGAAATGAGAATCCTTTAATGAATAAGGTTACTGTAGCTTTAAGGCAGCGTGGCTTTTGCAGGATGTTAGTTGAAGACATAAAGCATTAATAATTGTAATAGTATTTTAGTAGTAGCAGATTTTAGCAAGCAGGTAACAGTTCATAAGCAAAGTAAGAATTCAGAGATAGTATCAAATTGTATACTTATGATTGTTGGGAGTTATCCTCCAAAGACAGGTAAGTTTGAGTCCGCAGGATGATTAAACATCAAACAGTCCGGTTTCCATTAAATAGAAAGAGAGCAGGTAGATCCAATACACGGTCCGTGGTCAAAGGGAGATGAGAAGGCAGGAGTCCGTTTAAACAGTCCAAGGTTCGGTACACAGTATTAACGGAGAAGAGCTTAGCCGGCAACGTGATTGCGGAAGTAACAACCAGAAATCACTAAGCAATTTTGAATCTGGCGCGGTCTCTCTATAAGGCATCAGAGAGGGGGCGGGGACGGTTCCGCATACCAGAAATAACGGAGCTGAAAAGATAAGTCCTGACACCCCTCAACACGCCTACACCACATAAAACTGGAGGGGAAATGCAGGCCACTGATACACTTAGTGGGAGAGACCCCTCCGACCTTTCTGCAACACTTCAAATATGCTCAGCTGACCAAATATGTCCACACCCTGCCCCAGGGACCAGCACTCAATAGAGACCGAACCACATTCAAAAAGCTGTGCCGACACCCAGACCCAGTCCCACACAGAATATCCCTACTGTACTCCACACTCCAAGAGACCCCTACAGAGAAACCCCTATTCATGGGTATATGGGAGACAGTCCTAGACAGAACATTCACAGACGCCGAATGGGACTCCATCTGCTATTTCACACACCACTGCTCGGTACACAGCAGAACCCAAGAGACAGCCTATAAGCTATTGACACATTGGTACAAAACACCAAATCTCCTGCACAAAATTGACACAGACCATACCGAGGTGTGCTGGAGGTGTGAGAGAGAAGTGGGCACCACAATGCACATTTGGTGGGAATGTGACATGATCATACACTACTGGGCAAGGATACATGAGATGTTAGAGAAATTTTCCGACGCGATCCACCCCACGATCCACCCCAAGATCAAAGTATAAGAAATCTATGACGGTCAGAAGACTAAATGTAGCCAAACAACTCCTTCCCCAATTCTGGAAACAAAAATTAACCCCCCCCTCCCCCTTAAAATCTGGTTCGACCAGATGGAGGAGCTCAGATCTATAGAGGAACTGAATATGTCAGCCTCGGTAGCCCCCACGATGTACACAGACATATGGACATACTGGATCTTAGAGACGGCAAAGGATGAATTTCAACAGAGACTCCGACATAACAATTACACTGACAGAGAGAGATAGGACTCTACAAAAAGATTACTGAACTCAATATGAAACAGAAAATAGGAGACGATGGATCCTTGACACCCAATACCCCTCCCCCCACACTACCACCCGTCCCCACAACTCCCAATGTTCATACCTATAAACTGCAACCTACAGGACACGACAGGGACCAGAAAATGAAACCACAACGAAAAAAAGACACACTAAGAGAAAATACAACTTGAGGCCCGGAACATACAACAGAGTCTGACAAACACAGGGAAGTGAAGGGAAATGAGACCCAACCGACATAGAACATCCAGCAAAGGGATCAGCTAGCCCTACTATACCCCCGATACGTACTCAGCGATATACCGATAGGGTCACAAAAGAAACCACACACTACACGCAGATACTGGCTAGAAGATGGGGGAGGGACCGAAAACAAAAAGTGAAACACTCAGGTACCACAGCAATAGCTACCGACCCCACAAAAATAGAGTTACCACAAGGATCTGTCTGTACCTAGAGGGCATAGGGTCTGCGAACCCCAAATAAAATGTATAGGGACATCTATCCCACCAAACTACCGAGGGAAGAAAACGAGATCTCTGGAAGGGATTACCCAGACTGAGACTCGCCCCAAAGGTCATACTGAAAAGGTTCTTACTCATGAAAGCAAAAATGGAAGGGACCTGCGTGTCCGCCGAACCTGTGGGCCTGCGAGCCCGAACGTACCTGTACGTAAACTAAACCTAATGCTAACCAATGTCATATAAATAAATGCGAATCTGAGGCCTGTGAGTCTAAATGTACACACCTGAATGAAAAACAAATACAAATATATTTACAAAAAAAAAACAATACACACCACGAGTACTGAGCTCCTAAAAAAAGGACATTAAGATATAAATGGGAAAAAGTTATTTGAGTCCAAAATAGGGACTGCACCTACTAAAGAGGGATACTTGGGAGGTATATTACACAGCCCCAATGATGTTTCTAATTGCTAATACATCTAATACTTCTAATTACTTTTTTGTATATTTATAATGTCTGCTTGGATATATCAGACACATTTAAATCCTGACGTGTAGCAGTTATTTGAGGCCTGGTAATTCCATTATTAATTCAATGTTTGGAAATGTGATGATTGAGGCTATTGAGTGAATATTTTCAAGGACATCTCATTTAGAAAACTCCCAATACAAGGCTATGCTTAATGGAAACAATTGACTGGGCTGTAGACTGGCTTGATAATGATAAGAACATATCCACTTTAAGGTGAATAGTTTAATATCTGCACATTATTTATTACAATATTTTGTTCATAGTCTTGCATGTTATACTATTATACAAGTATTGGACTGCTGGTAACACAATACGTCATAACAAACACGAACAAACTGAATACAAGTGCCAATATGTATATTGAATTGTCCTACACGGAATTGAATAAGATATCTGTCTATACAATATAAGTCTGTACACATCCCTGGAGGCCTGTGTGCCTACCACTGTTTGTTCACCCTACTTCAATAAAAAAGAGATTTACCAAAAAAAAAAAAAAATGCTTACTACAGATATGCTCACTGACACACACATACATGCTTACTGACACACACACACATGCTTACTACAAACATGCTCACTGACACACACATACATGCTTATTACAGACATGCTCACTGACACACAAATACATGCTTACTACAGACATGCTCACTGAAACACACATATATGCTTACTACAGACATGCTCACTGACACACATACATGCTCACTACAGACATGGTCACTGAAACACACATACATGCTTACTACAGACATGTTTACTGACACACATACATGCTCACTACAGATGTGCTCACTGACACACATACATGCTTACTACAGACATGCTCACTGACACACAGATGTTTACTGACACACATACATGCTCACTACAGACATGCTCACTGACACATACATGCTTACTAGACATGCTCACTGACACACAGATGCTTACTACAGATGTGCTCACTGACACACACATACATGCTTACTACAGATGAGCTCACTGACACACATACATGCTTATTACAGACATGCTCACTGACACACACATACATGCTCACTACAGACATGCTCACTGACACAAATACATGCTCACTACAGACATGCTCACTGACAGACATACATGCTTACTACAGACATGCTCACTATTAAATTATTCAGCAGCATATACAAGTATCTATTTAAAATGTTCCTCTTTCTCCATGAGAAATGTATGAATTATCATATAATTTTATAAGGTACAGCACAACAGATTTCTTTGTGTTTTTATATAACAAAATACTAATAAATCTCAGTGGATGCGCAAGCACTGTGACTTTGTTTAGGAAACTGTCCAAATTACCTGAGAAAATAGACAAAAAAAGAGACGCTTGTGACGCCTCCCCCCCCCGCCCCCCCACACACACACACCCTTTTTTTAAATTATGAAATTGCACTTTTCATAGAGAATAAAACAATAAACTTCACATGAATGCCATATAAAGGATTTTTTTTTTTACAAATAATTGTGTTCTCCTTTATTGTGAAGGTTCTGGAATCCAACCAAGACGGTAGTACCTGATTAATATGGGCTCTCTGAATAGGCGCCCTTAAGTAATGGAAATGGTCCTACATCCTAAACCAGATGTCTGCACTCAGCACACTTCCTTCCAGTTACTGCCCATCCCAATGACTGCTGAGCAAATGATCGCATACATTTTCCACCTGAGCCACTCAACTGTGGCTGAATGATTACCGCTTTAATATTTATTACTTTTTAGAGACTTCAAAGGAGTCTACAAGATGATTTAGGCGTGAGTCCAAGGGTTGATGGAGATATCTAGAGATCAACCAAATGTCTGTGCACACCCCTGAAACTTTCAACCTATTTTATGTCTGCTAGCAAAGGAAACTGACAAGCAGGCATTTAATGTGGCTATCAGAGTTGTATAACATTTCTAGTATGAAGTATGTATTGTACACGTTTTACCATGACAGCAATAAAATAATTTTTCTCCAAAAAGTTTTGGTAATTAATACCCATTTATTTTTACAAATGTGTGGCTTCACAGAGCCAGCAGGTGGCAATGTTAAATGACTGTTCAGCTGATGTATTCTATTAACATTGAAAACTAAAAACACTACAATTTTAGGGGTTGTTCACTTAAAGCTGCACTGTCATGGCAGCATCTGTTTGTTTGTTTTGCCCCCACCCCCTTTCCGACTCCACTTTACATTTTGTCACCCCCAAATGCTCCTAGGTCCCCCATTTCACTTTTTTTTTTACCTGTTTATTTTTTGTCCTAGGCACCACCATCTTAGTGTTGCCAGATGAAGGCCCTGCGGGTCACTTCCCAATCCCCTACCATAACCCCCTCTATCTATGGAGTTACACTCTCCCTTCTGCCCCTACTCGCAATACTGCAAGTATGGGGCATGTCTACTAAACAGTGAGCAGACATTAAAGGGGAACCTAGCACAGGTGCCCCATGGTTGGGGCACCTATTAAAATGACAGGGAGTGTGGGGGAGGCATAGTGTTAAAGACAGCCTGTATGTGTATTTATTTATGTATGTATGTATGTGTATAGATCAGTAAAAAGTGAGTATGGGTCAGTGAGCTATTTTCTTTCCATTAAAAATTAGTTTTTTTAAATTGTTTATATATATCCAGTTGTGACACCTCTTGACAATGTTCAAACATTGTGTAACTAGCTGTTTTAGTGTTGGCGTAGATGAAGGTCTTCTTTACTTCCATAGTTCCCTCATATGTTTTATGTAGCTTCCCTCATTGGGTCAGCTGTTGTAGTAGCAGTCAAGCCGGTCTAGGTTCTCACTTCGTGTCCAAGAATAGTTTGTCCTAGTAGCGCACTCGGCATCAGATTGCCCTGGTTCCCTAGCATCCGATGGGGACCTTGTTACTCTCTTGGTTCATGTTACTCTCATTATTGGGTTGGGTATGGTATATATTGTTAGGAGTCTTGCCCAGGAACACTTAATGGTAAATCTCAAAGATGGAGTTCCTGGTTCCAAGACAGTGACTTTACCACTGCACTAACAGATGTTAGCAGGGACAGCATACACTGAGAGGCACAACCAAGTTGCTGAGAATGTGAACAAAAATATCTGCACAGAATATGGGCTGGACCTGCCTAATTCTAGTTGGTAGATAGCATAAAGTGTAGTTGACAATGACAAGGCTAAGAGCCTCTTGAGATTTTCATATCAAGACAGACAAGCAAATAGTGGCCAACCAACCTGACATCGTGGTAGCAGACAAGGAACAGAAGACTGCCGTGGTGGTGGATGTGGCAGTACCACGTGTCTATAACATCAGGAAGAAGGAACATGAGAAAGTGGACAAATACCTAGGACTGAAAGGCGCTAGAAAGGATGTGGAAAGTAAAGGCAGTAGAAGGCTCAGTTGTGATTGGAGCACTTGGGGCTGTGACACGCAAGCTGAGATCGCTGTCCAAAAGAGTTCAGTTCCAGGAACAGCTAAGATACTGCGCAGAACCGTCAGACTACCAGGACACCACCTTGGACAGAGCCGCCACCAGAAATTTTGGGGCCACTAACTCAGCTTAGGGTCTGGGCCCCCTGGGGCACGCCTCCAATCCCGTCACAGGGTCCGCCTCCAAATCCCGCCCACAGGAATACACACACACAAACACAAACACACACACACTGATACAAAAGGACACAGATACATACTAACAGACACACATACTGAAACAGACATACACGCAAATAGGCATACATACTGACACACAGGCATACATAGTGACAGAGACACATACTAACATACATACAGACACACATGCATGAGGACATACAGACACATACATACATACACACTGACATACATACAGACACCGACATACATACACACATACATTCATAATGACAAACAGACATACATAAATTCAAACTGGCATACATACATATATAGATACAGACATACATTCATTCATACAGATGGACAGACACACATGCATACAGACACTGACATCCATACATACACTGACATACATTCATAATGGCATACAGACATACATTCATACTGGCATACATGCATATATACAGACATACTGACAGTCATACATACATATTCATTGAGGCAGTCAGCTAGACCTTTATCCTCTTCTACATAACTTCCTTCTTTTGTTTTTAATCTAACTAATACTTGTTGTACTTTCCTTTTCTCATTTATGTATCTAAAAAAAGTTTTGTCCCCTCTTTTTACAGACAGACATATAGACATACAGACAGACATACATTGATACTGGCAAACATACATACATAATGACATACAGACATACATTGATACATACATACATACAGACATACATGCATAGAGACACACACACAAAGCTCATTTTTCAGCCACCCTCCTGTCTCTTACCTTTTCTTTGCAGGAGGGTGGCTGGGGCTGATAGGAGTCGGCTGGCTCTCCCTCTTCACGGCTTGGCTGGCGGTCCTCCCGTGCGGAGTGAGCTGGGAGGAAGTGACCACTTCTTCCCAGTAGCACTTGCTGCGCCTGTGTTTTTGTTTTTAAAGGGGCCTGGTCACGCTATTAAACGGCCACAGCGCTGACCGGGCTCCTGAAGATATAGGGCCCATCGGGTGGCCCTAAGTGCGTGGGCCACCCGATGGGCCCCATCAGCATGCGGGGCCCGGTCTAACTGCACCGGCAGCAGTTCCGCCGCTACACGTGGGGCCCAGGCAGCCGTCATGGTTGTCACCCCCTGATGGCGGCCCTGACCTTGGAGGGGTGAGAAATTTTGTATTTAAAAAAATATATATATAGATATATATATTTAGACACGCTAAAGAGAGGAAGAAGATAATCAAAAAGGGGGAAGGAGGGAGACACAAAGGTGGGTTAGAAAAGAGGACAAAAGGGATATGATATATTAACCTTGGGGACAGATATTCAGAAGGGGGATAAAAGATACAAGGAGGTTAATAGACCACAAAACGTGGGATAAGGATGCAAAAGTATGAAATGAATGGCAAACAGGATACAATATGTAAACGAAATGGGAACAAAAAGGCGGTAAGATGCACTAAAGGATGGGGTAAGAGGGGCAAAAGGGGGGGTTAATATACAGACAGATGAAGATGGATTTTGGGTGATGCAAAATGCATCACCTGTGTAGACAAAAATCCTTGCACCAGCCCCAGTTGGTTGGTGCTTTGGGCATCCCTTAAAATTTGAAATTCACTTTGATTGTTGGTCTCCTCACAACACCCACAATGCATCCACAAACATTGACTACAATGAGGTGGTAATGGCTGTCAGTCTGACATGCACTAGAGGAGGCTTGTTCTCAGACAGATGTAAACAGAAACATGTCATGGACATGAACAAACCTTCCAGTACATTATATTAACTATATTAAGATTGGGTGGTTTGGGTGTTTAAATGTCTATTTAATGATCAATGATTTACCATTTGTGATAGATTTATACCACCACATATATCCTTTAAGTAAGGATTCTGGGGTACATTTATCAAAGTGTTCTGTTTTTTTTAAAAGTGTTGGAAAATGTAAATGGGGAGTAGTCACAAATGTATTGAGACCACATTTTAAAATAGAAAACGTTGATACATTTGCCCCAATATTCCATAATTACATCTCTTAATGTCAGCAAGGCTTTGTGTTGCCAAAGCTATATAAGTAGGGCATGAGGTCTTTAGGGACCAGATTGTGATGATAGCAAGTGTATTATTGGTATTTAAGGATTAAAATAATCCCTTACTCCAGTATGTCTTTAGCATCCACTCCATCCCCACCTCGGTATCCATATCCCGTGTGTCATTTTAATACAAAGTTATCTCCTGCATTTCCATCAGCAGCCAGTGAGCAGCTGAAAGCCCAGTCATTCTCCTTTTTTTCCGCATTGGCTAAGACGTTAAAATATTTAAACTTGGGATCAGTGCCAAACAGTCTGGAGTCCTGATCCAAGCCAGCCTCGCCCTCCCTGGCCTGCTGTGTGAGATCATCCTTAAAGGGACACAACACCCATTAGTACATTAAAGGCAACTATAGCTGAATAGGAGGAAACATCCCCTAACACATCCAAACATAGCTGTGTTTGCCTAAATTGTGCAATGTGGGTGTCAATTCACCACAATTCGGAGTTTAGTGAATTAATCACATTCTCACTTTAAATAGCTGTGAGCAGGGGACATCACTTTTACTGAGTGTCTATTATTTTATATAAATGTAGGACCCCTTTTTCTCACTGGTATCGTTAGAAACTGGCGCACTTTCCCATGTTCCACATCATACATGTAAAATGTATGTAACCTGCAATCTGAGCACATGTCAAGTGGGAGTACATTGTCAGTGACAGACAGGCAAGTGCACATCGAGACAGCACTGAAAGGGTAAACCAAAACTTTATACACAAGGTTGTGTAAGTCATTCTTTATATTAAATGAAGGGTTATGTGCCCTATAATTTCACCTAACAAACACAATGTGGCATACAGTCTGAGAGACAGCTAGGAGACAGTGTTCCCCATAAGCAGCCAGCCATGTTATCTGACAGCCAGTGCTCCCCATCAGCAGCTAGCCATTTCTACTGGCAGCCAGCCAGCCATGCCTTCTGACAGCCAGTGTTCCCCATTAGCAGCCAGCCATGCCTTCTGACAGCCAGTGTTCCCCATCAGCAGCCAGCCATGCCTTCTGACAGCCAGTGTTCCCCATCAGCAGCTAGCCATTTCTACTGGCAGCCAGCCATGCCTTCTGACAGCCAGTGTTCCCCATTAGCAGCCAGCCATGCCTTCTGACAGCCAGTGTTCCCCATCAGCAGCCAGCCATGCCTTCTGGTAGCCAGTGATCCCCATCAGCAGCCAGCCATGCCTTCTGGCAGCCAGTGTTCCCCATCAGCAGCCAGCCATGCTTTCTGGCAGCCAGTGTTCCCCATCAGCAGCCAGCCATGCCTTCTGACAGATAGTGTTCCCCATCAGCAGCCAGCCATGCCTTCTAGCAGCCAGTGTTCCTTATCAGCTGCCAGCCATGCATTGTGAGAATAAAATTCCATGCATTAGTGGGACACAGCAAATCTTTCAGAAAGTTGAGCCAGCTCCTTTTCTCTGCCTCTTCCTTCTCCCAAGTTTCCCCCCTCTTTCTCCCCTCCCTCCTATTTTCCTAAATGAATGGAGTCCCCAGGCTGGCAGGAAGTTGTAATGAACATCTCTTCTTCTAGATGCTGGCTGTCCCTCCCCGAGCTCCCAGCTAGGGCGGCCAGGGCTGGGCGGGGGCCCATCTAATTCTGACACCCACTGACAAGGAGGGAAGGAGACAGTCGGGGACAGCAGTCACAGGGTGCTGAGTGACCGCTCATACTGCCAACATACAGAGAGAGAGAGAGAGAGCCTGGGAGAGTGCTGGCTGCACTGAGGATTAGACAGCCTGATTAACCTTGTGCAGAGGGCGAGGCTCAGTGTCTCCCACCTCCCCCCGGCTGGCTGTGCCCTGCCCGACTGCAGAGATCACTCAGCTCCCCCACGTCACAGCTTAACTTCCAGCAGAAGGACTGACTGCCACATGGAGCCAGATATGGACTGGCATAGGATCTGACATCACTAGCTTCAGAGGGACAGGAGAACATGTCAAGGAGTGTGGGTGACTTTTGGAGAGGGCTAGATGGACTGATCAACCTGGGAGAAGATGGGGGTGTAGAATAACTACAGCCCCCCAGGGGCCCCATCCATCCATCACTGTAACAGGCTGATTTGCAGGTGAGTGAAAGTGTCTATAAAAAGACTGTCTGGTCCTGTCTCCTTCCTCTCTGTACTAATTAACCCTGCACTGACAAACTGCTCAAAACAATAACTACTACAGCAATGCAACATTCTCATTTAGATATCACTGTATTGATTTACTTAAAGGATTATTCCAGAGTCCTTACCACCATGTATAAGGCATAGGCTGCCAACATCACACACCCCACACTCACTCAAGTTCCAACATATCTAGGAGGTAGATTATACATAGCTCAGATGTGTTACAGAAGAACATGCTGAACAATGCATGTTTCTTCTCAGAGTTATATACCATGATGCACACTTTAGAATACTTCTATACCTTAAAATGTATGACTGCTGATTCCATATGTTACAGTTATATAGATTAGAAGAATACACATTGTTGTATATAGGACCATTCACACTGGACATGATAAATGTTTAACTTACATTAAACATTCAGCACGTACATTACTTGTCACATGCATATACTGAACAGTGTAAATAACGTATGTAAAGATATTTTAGATGAAGCGGTCAGCAAGTTGAATACTTACAATATTTGAATGATGTTTGCATTCTGCACACTTTATGATTATTAATATAATTACAAAAGGTTCTTAATTGTGACATTATTTTGCGCTGTTTATGTGTAATACTGAAGCACATTAGAGCATCATACATATGGTTTTGATTTATATTAGATATTGCAGTAAAATTCAGAACAATGAGCACGTAAAACGTTAATATATATGTAGGTACAGATATATACCTTGTTTCAAGAAAAACATATGTACAGCCAACTTTACATTCCTATAGTTGAAACATGGATTCACACAGCTGTTTTAGAGTAATTTAATTCAGTCTGTATTGTGTTATTTTCAGCAGTAAATCGCAGGGGAAAAAAAAAGTAAAAACTGTTCCTTTCTTTGAGAACACCATTACTATGCATGTTTTTGTATGTACCCTTAAACTATAGCGTGCTGTGACTTGTAGTTATTTATTTCTATCTATCCATATTTAGGACATTTAGTATGAGGTGATCCTGTGTGCGGTGTAACAAATAATAATAACAAAGTATTTAACCAGGGAAGTTAAATTCAGATTACTCTGGTTTTCGAGTGATGCATTGTCACTGTCCTATACTCCAGACAAATGTGAAATTTGTCTAGCTTAATCAAATAATAATAATAATATATATATTATTATTTTATTAAACATTTTTTTAAATGTACACTGTTCAATAACTACTGGCTTTTTAAAATAAAGCCCTGGTAAGTAGAACGTTTACACCTGCAGCGGCAAGTAACTTTTAGTACTGACTAGTAGCATAGGACATAAAATTTTGAGCTCTGCATACAGCAAGGGCAAATTTTGTTGGTTCATAGAATATCACTGTAATGAGTCCCACCCTTTTATTATGTATTGCACAGATTAAGGTGATTGAGGCAAAGCGTGAAGAGAGATGGCAGATCAGAGCCAAATTCAATCATCTGCTTCCAAAAGCATCCGGCCATTCCGCTCCAGCGAGGAATACCTGGAGGCCATGAAAGAAGATCTCACTGACTGGCTCAACATGTTGTATGACCTTGACATGGAGCCTTCCACCTTCATGGAGGCTCTAGAGACAGGCTTCACTCTGTGCCAACATGCTAACAACCTCAACCGCTTGGCACAAGAGTTCCGAGAACAATACGCTGAAGCTGCTAAAAACATGAGGCTCCCACAAAAAGATGTGACATTCCAGGTGAAAGGGGCACTTCCTGGTTCATTCCTGGCTAGGGATAATGTGTCCAACTTCATTAGCTGGTGTCGGCAGGAGCTTGGAATACCAGAGGTGCTGATGTTCGAGACAAATGATCTGGTGCTAAGGAAGGGAGAAAAGAGTTTTATCTTGTGTTTACTGGAGGTAGCCCGAAGAGGCGCACGTTTTGGTATGCCTGCACCAACACTTATCCAGATGGAAGAGGAGATTGAAGAAGAACTGAATCGTGGGAGAAAAAGTACTGAGCAAAGAGGGTATCCCCCAGTCAAAATGCCTGCCCGGCCTCCCCGCACACTGTGTGATCTCAAGAACCTTGATGAGTTGGTGAGACCTTACTGTTCACACCCCAAGTCTTTCTATACTGCCCTAGATAAATACTGGCACCAACAAGATACAAGGGCTCCTTGTTATTTAATTATCCCATTCTGTAAAACAGAAGTCATTTTGTATTTGCTTCATCAGAATTTTAGTTTTTCTGTACCTAGATAGAGTTAAACGTTTTTAGGCAGTAAGTGTAGACCAAATTATGCCTTAGTTTAGTATCCCGCAGGATTTATATTTGAATTGAAAGTTCACAAAAACCCTGAAGTTATTCTCGTGTTGTTTGTTTTGTGTTTGCCTTCTTGGCAGTAACAAGCTGATGGTCACGCGGACCTCAAGCTATATAATAATGTTCTTTCACATCTGCCAATTTCCTGCCGTGCAAGATTAATTAGTATACATATTAACTTCAAGATTTAAATTTAACTTTTTAAAATTTAAATGTGGTCTGTTCTGATTTATTTTTTAACCCTTACATAAATATTTGAGGCAATGGTCCAGTTTTTTTTTTTTATTCATTTAACATACCCACATATAATGGTTTATTTTGGTGAGTTGTGTTGAGTTGTTAACTAGTTTGTGAAATATAGGTCAAGGTAGAAACTTTTGAAGAAATAGTCACACTCTCTAGAGACTAAATTCTTAGGTTTTTACCAACTTAAAAGCACAGTGTTTATACTAGGTGGTATACTCTTTCCTCAAAGGGGCAAGCCAAACAGGGTAGTAACCTGTGATTGTAATATAAAGCACATAGTTGCTTATAACTGCAGCCATTTGCAGTGAGCCCGCCCCTTTTCCCTCTTACATCAAACAAGGAATTAAATCTTTCTTGAGTGTACAAATATTGGAATAGCATTTGCATGATCTGTTAGTCCTTACCTCCCCTTTATAGCTCTCTTCGTGGTCATTGGCTCAGTAAAGCTCTATGCACATCCTTATCCATAAAACTGTGAATGGGGGTGTCTGTATACTAATCCCAGCTAAAATACAGCTGCCATCAGCTTCACTCATTGGATGTGATGAATGGATTTGTTACTGAGGGCTATATGGGGACAGGGATTTATAGTGTAAAACAGCACTTTATGAGATAAGATTAGACCCCTTAGACCATAATGACAAGTTTTAGCATGTTCCTGGTCTGTGAGGACTCTGCTACCAGTGCTTGCCTGAGCATTTGCAGCGTGAGGAGCTTTTTATTTTTGTGTGTATTTTAGAATGCATTGATTTTCATTGTTATACTTTTTTTATACATTGAAAGGTTCAGGGTTACTTTCAGTTCCACAGCCTAGGTTGCATCTAGGGATGCAAATTTTTCAGCCAAAAATGGGCCTATCCCATTTAGTCCGAAAACGGGTCAAATTTGCCAAAATAAAATTTTTAAAAAAATGTTCGTTTAAAAAAGAAATATATATATTTTTTTTATTTTTGTAGTGCATAGTTTAACAGACATGCTTGCATTAACAATATCACAATGAAAAATAGTAATGATAATATAAAAAGTCAAGAATACTGCACTTCGGACGGTGGAGAACACTATGGGATGGGGGGGAGAACACTAGGGGACAGGGGAGGATGGAAAGAACACTATGGGACAGGGGTGGAGAACACTATGGGACAGGGGAGGGGAGGAGAACACTAGGGGGCAGGGGAGGAGGGCAAGAACACTATAGGGGAGGGGGAAAAGAACACTATGGGACAGGGGAGGGGGGAAAGAACACTATGGCACAAGGGAGGGGGGAAGAACACTATGGGATGGGGGGGAAGAACACTATGGGACGGGGTTGGGAACACTATGGGACAGGGGAGGGAAGAAAAGAACACTATGGGACAGGGGAGGGGGGGGACACTATGGGACTGGGGAGGAGGGAGGAAAGAACACTAAAAAAGAGGGAGGGGAGAAGAACACTAGAGGGGGTAGTGAGGAACATTAAGCGGGGGGACCACTAACAGAGAAGGGAGAAGGGAAGTTCTTCATATTAGATTAATTAAATTCATTAAAAAGTCTAATATTAATAAAATTATAGGAAAAAACTTTTTTTAAATCATTTGGGGGGGGGGGAGTCATTTTCTGTTTCGGTTTTCAGTCAAGGGCATCCTGAATTTTCGGTTTTGGCCCAGAATTTTCATTTTGGTGCATCCCTAGTTGCATCCTACTCAAAATACTCAATTGCATTGTAAACTTTGCACACTATCAGCAATGTAAGACTGAAAGCACGTTTTGCTTTCATTTAGAATATGATATATATATATATATATATATATATATATATATATATATACACAAAATACCCCTGCACTCCAATAGAGAAATAAAAATAGTACCTGGTGCTCTGGTGGCTTAATCCTAAACAAAGTGAAAATACCGGCACTCAAGGTTTTCCAGAAGATAACTTCTCCATATATTGTGGAAAGAAAATTCGACGTTTCAGCTCCACTGGGGAGCTTTCATCAGGACAAGTCCTGATGAAAGCTCCCCAGTGTGCTCAGTGCTGAAACGTCGAATTTTTTCCCCCGCGATATATGGAGAAGTTATCTTCTGGAAAACCTTGAGTGCCGGTATTTTCACTTTTATATATATATATATATATATATATATATATATATATATATACATATAACAAGAGGGGGTTGGCTGCACTCACCTGAACATGCATAAATAAAGCTGCCAGCCAAATAATACAATACACAAGATCCAGCGCACTCACCCATCCACCAAACAGCAACTTCAATGTTGAAAGATTTTATTAGTTTTTTTTAAAAACACCTAATCTAGGCAAAAATAATGGGGGTTTAGTTACATTATATGATCATACATTGCATAAGCCTGCCACAACGTCAATGTACCCCATCTTTGGCAGGTCCTACACTAACAGCCTAATGTCTGCCCCTATGAGATTAACCTACTTGGGAAAAAAAAATTCCATCTGGGGCTCTCTGCAGTACAAGGCTAAATAGGGCCCTGGGATGAGGCACCTGTGACAGGGAGGGGTGCAAAACCAAGGAGTTGGCTAGACTCCCAAATCTATATAAAACAAGAGGGGGTTGGCTGCACTCACCTTAACATGCATAAATGGGGGTGCTGTTGGGGTTAAATACTATTAATATTGGTTGGCATTCGATAAGACCATCATTCATTAAACAGCATATCGTTAAAGATTATTTGTTTTTAAAAATACTCTTACCTAGGCGGGGTTTAGCGATCATAAAGATGGTTTCCGTGCCGCTGTCAAAGTCAATAATTATCTGGCAGGTTTACATTAACAGTTTGGTCAGCCCGTTTGTTTACTTTGTGTGCTCTTTTCAGTACAGTTAGTCAGTTCAGGCATCAGACTGGTGTACCGAGTTGTTGTATTCCTCAGTTGGCGATAAATGTTGGAGCTGCCTGGTTTGAACATGCGCGCTGGGGCCAAATAATAGCATTAGCCAGCATTCAGCATTATTTCAACAAAGGTCTTCACGTTAGTATTTATTTGTTTTTGCAACACTTAATAATGGTGTTTAGTTACATTATATGATTATAATATTGCATGCTCTCACATTGATGTTGTGGCAGGCTTATGCAATGTATGATCACATAATGTAACTAAACCCCATTATTTTTGCCTAGATTAGGTGTTTTTAAAAAAACAAATAAAATCTTTCAACATTGAAGTTGCTGTTTAGTGGATAGGTGAGTGCGCTGGATCTTGTGTATTGTATTATTTGGCCCCCAGCAGCACCCCCATTTATGCATGTTCAGGTGAGTGCAGCCAACCCCCTCTTGTTTTATGTATATATTTGGGAGTCTAGCCAACTCCTTGGTTTTGCACCCCTCCCAGTCACAGGTGCCTCATCCCAGGGCCCTATTTAGCCTTGTACTGCAGAGAGCCCCAGATGGAATTTTTTTCCCAAGTAGGTTAATCTCATAAGAGCAGACATTAGGCTGTTAGTGTAGGACCTGCCAAAGATGGGGTACATTGACGTTGTGGCAGGCTTATGCAATGTATGATCATATAATGTAACTAAACCCCCATTATTTTTGCCTAGATTAGGTGTTTTTAAAAAAACAAATAAAATCTTTCAACATTGAAGTTGCTGTTTAGTGGATAGGTGAGTGCGCTGGATCTTGTGTATTGTATATATACATATATGTATATCTGTTGAGAAGGGCTGATAAGACTAGTAAGTCTAACAACACAGCAACAAAACCAGGAATGTTACACTACAATATATTTCCTGTTCTCAAAAGTATTTACAGTTATATACCCTTTTCTTAGTTTATTAATAACTAACAAAACCTAACTATTAACACCATAAAGACTAATGATGGTTGGCGCTAACATAGCAAAATAAACCAAAATGGAATATCTCACACATTTAACCCCTTCACAGTGGGACTTGTGTACGTATACACAATTCCCAGGGTATGCACCCATACCCTGGGATCGTTTATATGCGATTTCCATAAGTGCAAATTAAATTTGTTTTCTGCAAACAAATTTTAACTTGGAAAAAAAGAAACTAAAGGATATTACTAATTCCCTAAGGCTTACCTTGGGCCAGTGAGGGGAAATAGTGGTCCGGTGGGAGATCCTCCTTGTGTGCACCCTAGGTGGGTGCTGACAGCTCCTTCCGGCCGGTGTAGGTTAAAGTATCAGAGTGTTGCTATGGTAATCCACGGCAACACTCTGATACAGTAGGCATGGAGAACTTGGTCTGAACCTCCAGGAGATGCAGACCAGGTTTTCCATCCACAGAAAGGGTTCTATGTGTGCGTGTATTAGTGTGTATAGCTGTGCAATTAAATATAGTGCTACCTAAGCATACTGAAACAAAAAATACATTTAAACATTACTTTCCGGGACACGCAAAATACTTAGTAGCAAAGAAGATAATTTGTGATGGAACTCCTATGAATTAATAAAAAGAACATTCCGTGCTGGCATAATATTTCATTTGAAAAAAGTATGGAACTGCACTCACTCCCATCAGTCAGAGCCAGGGTGCTTTCTGTGACCGGAACACCAGGTTCAATGAAATAAAATAAAGGTGGTCCAGGCACTCCTTGGTTCAATACAGGCACTTTATTGGAACCACAGCAATGTTTCGACCGTGAGGTCTTTGTCAAGCATAATATTTCAGGCACAGAATGTGATAATTTCACATGACACCAGTGAAATAAAATACTATTACTTAACTTATAGGTCACAGCCTCCCAAGGTTATCTCCAAGATAGTAACCTCTTTTAACAAATATGTATATGCAAAAACAATTTCAGGCACCTGATTGTGATGACCACAAAATGTTGATCACCAAGGAGGTTAAAGGGACACTATCGTCACCAGAACCACAATAGCGTAATGTAGTGGTTCTGGTATCTAGAGCCTGTCCCTGCTGGCTTTTTATGTAAACACTGTTTTTTCATAGAAAATGCAATTTTAACATTGGTGCCTAATATCACATCTAGTAGCAGTTACTCAGATGGCCAGGACAGGAGCTTTCTAGTCCAGTGCTGCACTGGCGTCCAGCGTCTCCGGGCTCTGCATGGAGGTGCTGAATGTTCCCCATAAAGATGCATTAATTCAATGAGGAGATGGTGCTTGGCGCAGCGCTGCATTGAAATAGCCTGACAATTCTTTCCTATGGGAAAGCATTGGATTGGATGAGATCATCAAGTTTGATGATCTCAGCCATGGAGGCGGAGTGAGACCGGCATGGTATGGGAGAAAAGGTGAGTTAAAAAACACATTTGTAGCATGATCGAAGCGGGGCTGGAAATCTAAACAGCCGTACCAGGACTATAGATTCTCCAATAGTCCCAAGTATGACAGATTGTAATTTCTAAATGTTTATGACTAATTTGTTCATAACCTCCACTTGTATCAAGGAGTTATTTCTTGTCCTATGAGGTAATGCGGCTCAGGCCATGGAATCAGGGCCGGATTAACATAGGGGCTGATGGAGCTGCAGCTCCAGGCCCAGGCCCATGGAATAGGCCCATTGATTTAAAAAAAAAAAAAAAAAAATTTTTTTTTTCCACACACATTTTTTTTTCCACACACTACTCTTAGGGATTCCACCTGGCTTTTATTTTATTGGCACAGCCCGTATTTAAGGCTGCCTGGCTGGTGCCAATATTGCAGTGATACTGGCAATACAAATGCTGGTATTTTTCTGAGTATAAACAAGAGATTACTATGCAATACCAGCACTGGCCAGCAGCGCTGTATGTGGAGACAGGCAGGGTTAGGAAGTTCCAGCATATCCCTCCCTGCCTGTCTATACTCACTGATCTGCAGGGGTGCAGCTATACAGCACAGAGAGGCCAGACAGCAACTCCCACCCTGCAGAGACAGCCTGCAGCTCAGGGAAGTAAGGGTTGGGGTGAAAGGCTGCAAGGAGACATGCACTGAGATACTAAGGTACACTGGGAGACATTATGGCAGACACTGAGACACTAAGGGACATGGGGAAACATTATGACACAGACACATGGGGATACAGTGTCCCCATGTCTCCCATTCAGTGTCCCTGGTGTCTCAGTGCCCACTTGTCTCCCAGTGCCCCCAGTCTGCCAGTGTCTCAAGGTCCCCATGTCTCCTAGTACCTCCATGTCTCTCAGTGCCTCAAGTGTCACAATGTCCCCATGTCTCCAAGCTAGTGTCCCTAGTGTTTGTGGCCCTGGTGTCTCAGTGTCCTCATGTCTCCCAGTCCCCCCATGTCTCAATGTCCCCATGTCCCCCAGCCAGTGTCTCTAGTGTCTGTGTCCCTGGTGTCTTCAAGTGTCCCCTATTTTCCCATTGTCCCCATGTGTCCTAGCCAGAGTCCCCTAGTCTCCCAGTGTCACTGGTCTCTCCGTGTTCCTAGGTCTCCCCGTGCCCCCAGGTCTCCCCGTCTTCCTAGTGTCCTAGTGACATGGGGACCCTGGGATACATGGGGACACAGGGAGACATGGAGCATTCAGACACTGTGATACATAGGATCACTGGGAGACCTGGGGACATGACACTAGGGGACACTGGGAGACATGGGGCGCTGAGACACTGATACATAGGAACACTGAGATCTGGAGTAATCGACACATGGGGGCACTGAGTCATGAGGACACTGGGAGGAATCCATCTATACAGCAGAATCAAACTAAGTAGTTTTTTGGTGATTTTACAGCATTTTCTCCTTGTGATTTACATCATGTGATATCACCCATACATATTTAATTATGCAAATTAGTAAGGTTGGTATGTTTTTCCAAGAAAGGTGGAAACCCTAACTACTTTTCACATACTCTTATTTAAGTATGGAAACTTAAGAGGGATGTATGGGAACAAACCTTATGTGGACTGGCTGACAATGAATATAGTTAAAGGGACACTATAGTCACCAGAACAACTACAGCTTATGGAATTTATTCTGGTGAGTGGAATCATTACTGTCAGGCTTTTTGCTGTAAACACTGTCTTTTCAGAGAAAATGCAGTATTTACATTACAGCCTAGTGATAACTTCACTGGCCACTCCTTAGATGGCTGTTAGAGATCCTTCCTGGGTCATGGCTGCCTAAAATATTGATACCTTAGAGAGGGTTCAGAGAAGGGCTACTAAACTGGTTCATGGATTGCGGGATAAAACTTACCAGGAAAGGTTAAAGGATCTTAACATGTATAGCTTGGAGGAAAGACGAGACAGGGGGGATATGATAGAAACATTTAAATAAATAAAGGGAATCAACACAGTAAAGGTGGAGACTATATTTAAAAGAAGAAAAACTACCACAACAAGAGGACATAGTCTTAAATTAGAGGGACAAAGGTTTAAAAATAATATCAGGAAGTATTACTTTACTGAGAGGGTAGTGGATGCATGGAATAGCCTTCCAGCTGAAGTGGTAGAGGTTAACACAGTAAAGGAGTTTAAGCATGCGTGGGATAGGCATAAGGCTATCCTAACTATAAGATAAGACTAGGGACTAATGAAAGTATTTAGAAAATTGGGCAGACTAGATGGGCCGAATGGTTCTTATCTGCCGTCACATTCTATGTTCTATGTTTCTATGTAAAATGCATCCAAACATTCAATGTCTCCTCCCTCTGCATGCAGACACTGAACTTCATTAATTCAATTCATCTCTATAAGGAGATGCTGATTTGCCAGGGCTGTGTTTGAATCATGCTGGCTCTGACCCTGATCTGCCTCTTTGTCAGTGTCAGCCAATCCTATGGGGAAGCACTGTGATTGGATCAGGCCACCACTTCTAATGATGTCAGCAGACTGCTTGTTTTTATGAGTCTAACAGCATGCAGAGTTACAGCTTCAGGCTTGAATATAGTAAGATTTTGCTATATTTATGGAGGCATGAGGGGCCCAGGGGGGCTAGATGGTGGTGTTAACACTATAGGGTCATGAATTCATGTTTGTGTTCCTGACCCTATAGTGATCCTTTAAGGTAATGATGACTTTGGTCTCTCTAACACTGTGGCATGTTCCCTTTCTTCTCCACTCACTACATACAGCTTTTCTCTGTCCCAGACTATATACCAGGAGCTTCTGCCTGCTACTAAGAAGGTAAGGAGACAAGTGGACCAGCGAGTGCTAGGGGACAGTCCTTAGAAAGCGTTGAGTGAGCGCATCATTAGATGCATTTATGCCAAGCTCAGGGTGCTGTCTGCATAGTATGCCCTTAGTTGGCCAGATGCATGATTGGCAGGCAGCCTGACATGCATTCATGCCAGACTGCCTTCTAATTCTTTGGGCAGACATGTCCTCTTTTTGGGCATGTTCGCCCCTTTTGGCAGGTTACGTGATTTGTGTCAATGGCACACCCTTTTACCTTCCTGCTTGACTGGACACTGTTGTTAGGGGTTATGGATTTACTTGAAAAATGAAAACATAAATTAGAGAGAGATTAGCCTAGGGTATGCGTTTTCTTATACCTGCTGTTTTCTATCTCTCCAGCACCATCTCCATCAGATACATGACGCTTGGGAGGTTTTACTGTTTTTGGTCGATATGATTCTGTAATTAGGCCCGTCATAATTGTCAGCACCAGGCCCACTGGGCTCTTAATCTGGCCCTGCATGGAATGGAGAGATTTGTTTATATGTTTAGTTTGAATGTCTTTTGTCTTGAAGTGGACTGTGAATGTCTTGGGGTAGTGCTATAAACAGAGGACTATCCCGGTAATGCATACGATAAAGTATTTACACTACAAAAAGGCCCTTACTTACCCAGGCAGGGGACTTCCACATTAACCACACAATTCACAGAAACAAGAACACTGCCTTATCTTAGAGATAGAACTAGACTATAAAAGTCACGTGGAGAGTTTTGGTCTTTCTCCTTGTGCTGAAATGTTGAAGTATCTTGAAGGGAATTTATTTTCTTAATTTGTTGTCCATAGGGTTTTGCGTGTGTTTCATCAGTGGTGGGACCGAGCTGGTATACTGCTTATCTTTTTGGCACTCATGGGTTAAAGGAAATTGTGATTTAAATTGTTGTTGCTGCAGGTCTGTCAGAATCATGTTCATTCAATACATTTGCCATACACTGTTTTGTTTCCATGGTGATTATTTGACCTATATATGGCCTACTGACATTATTTAGCAGGCAGTATTTTTTAAAATATTTTCATATATTTGTATGTTAGAAAAGATGTTTTGGATTGTAGGCTATAGGATTATAAAATACCATTAGTTTTATTGAGTTTTGGTTGTTCCTTTGTTATCTCCCCCTTCGTAGTAAGCTCACTATGTACCTCCCTACATGGGAGCTACATATCTCTATGCCTGTTATTAACTACACCCAGTGCCATCATGTGTGACTGGCTGTTTGTTTATGCGGGGGGGAAGAAAGGGATGTGAACAGTAGAACAAGTCATTGTATGCTTAAGAGATGTAACAGAATGAGTGAGCCTTCCTTTGTAAGACGCACAAACAGCCTGAGCTATCCCCCTGTAAGATGCAGTGTGGCAATGAGAGCTGAGTCACTTATTATCCTGGATGAGACAGTGACAGACTAAGTGCCCTATTCCCCTTAAAGAGACAGTGACAGACTGAATAATTGACTCCTTGTAATGCAGTGAGAGACTGAATAATTCCCGTATAAAACACAGTGAGACTGTGACGGCCTGAATGAGCTATTCCCGTGTAAGAGTCTGCAACAGACTGTTTGTGGGCTTTTCCACTGCAAGATACAGTAGCAGACTGAGTGAGCTAATTTCCTATAAGAGACACTAAAAGATTGACAGGCTTATTCACCAAACTGAAAATGGATTTCAAATTTAAGAGAAAAAGGTGCTGTCTCTTACAAGGGAAATGATCACTCTAGCAATGTCTTTTACAGGATTGCAGCCCACTCAGTCTGTGAACATCACTGTCTCTTCTAGGAAATGAGCTCACTCAGTCTGTCACTGACCATGCCTCCCAACTCCTGAATTTGAAGTCTTGTCCAGCCATCCCACTTTAGTACTGCATCTGAGGACACCAGGAAAGCGTCGCTGGGCAGCACAGCGCAAGCACATCACTAGGTCGCCCTCTGCAGCAGGCACTAGAACTATGTAGGGAGCTCACTGCATGTAGGGCACCTGTCCGGGAGGCTGTACCTGAGCCTTGTGTTGAGCATGCAACTTCAGTGGGTGGACCCACCGACTATCTGGGCAGGCATGCCTATTTAGAGGCATCACCAGTGAGGCAATTTACGTGCCCTCGGAAGGACAGCCATCTGTCCTGAATCATGCTGGCATTAAAGTCTAGCTAAATTATTCAGAAATGTTTCTAACAGTATCACCCTTCAACTCCCCCTGTGATTAAAGGGTTAAAACCTCCTTTTTTCTAACTCATCCCTTTCCAGCGCAGAGGCTCCCTCGGCACTGGCTAGGCCTCCTCCTAATGCTTTCCTATGGGGAATTTGAAGACTTTAGATGTATTCATGCTAAGCATGAGGACATCCAACGTCGCTTCACGGAGTTAAACCTCTGTTAGTGACCAAGATGCCCTTCTAGTAGAAAGCGATTAGAGGTGAAGTTAACCCTGCAATGTAATCCTTGCGGTTTCTCAGAAACGGCAATATTTTACTTTGCATGGTTAAGGACACAGGGGCCCAGCACCAAGACCACTTCAATGGGATGAAGTTTCCTGGGTTCCTATAGTGTCCCTTTAAAAGGACCACTATAGGCACCCAGAGCACGTCAGCTCAGCTCAGTGGTCTGGGTACCAGGTCCCTCTAGTTTTAACCCTGCAGCTGTAAACATAGCAGTTTCAGAGAAACTGCTATGTTTACACTGAGGGTTAATCCAGCCTCTAGTGGCTGTCTCACTGACAGCCGCTAGAGGCGCTTCCACAATTCTCACTGTGAAAATCACAGAAGACACTGACGTCTATAGGAAAGCATTGAGTAATGCTTTCCTATGGGCGGTTTGAATGCGCCCGGCTCTTGCCACGCATGCGCATTCCGCGCTGACGTCGGCAGGAGGAGGAGAGTTCCCCAGCGCCGAGGGAGCCTTGCACTGGAGAAAGGTAAGTGGCTGAAGGGGGAGGGGGGACATGAGGGTGGGGGGAATCTAATGACCCTATATCAACAAACTCGTTTTCCTGGCGCTATAGTGGTCCTTTAAGAGATATTGAGTGAACACTTTCTCATATATTTGAATTGGTCGAACCTTACTAGCTATGTGATATTGAGAAACCTTTGCAAATTTTGTTCATAACAGTAGCATTCCGATGCAAAGCCCTGGCTGAGATACTGACTTGCGAATAGGAACATGTGTACTAGAGAGACAGTGACCTACTTTCCTGTGTGAGGATACAGAATAAAGGCCCCATGTTTTGTGTGTCAGATGATTGACAGATCTTTTCTCTCTCCCTCACCAGGTCCGTGAAATATTAGGCTGCTGCCGATGTCCATCTCAATTTCCAATGATAAAAATCTCAGAGGGCAAATATCAGGTTGGAGACAGTAATGCCCTCATTTTTGTACGGGTAAGATTTTGTGTGGATATTTAGTTAAAGTGATTTCTGATGCCATGCCTCCTTAAATTACCAAGGGATAGATAGCAAAGGTGGTATTGTGATATACCTTGACAAATTAAAAGAGAATTGTCAGTAATTCAAAGGGAATCTCAGATTTAAAGGGACACTATAGTCCCCAGAACAACTGCAGCTTAATGTAGTTGTTCTGGTGAATATAGTCAGTCCCTGCAGGCAGTTTGCTGTAAACACTGCATTTTTAGAGAAAAGGCATTGTTTACATTGATCCCTAGGCATACTTCCAGTGGCAGTCACCCAGATAGCCACTAGAGGTGTTCCTAGGTCAGTGCTGCACTTACATTCAGTGTCTCCACGCTCTGCATGGAGGCGCTGAACTTTCCCCATAGAGATGCATTGATTCTATATGGAGATTCTGATTGGCCAAGGCTGTGTCTGGCCCTGCCTCCATCCCACCTTCTTGGCTGCGATCATCAGAATTGACTATCTCAGCTAAGGGGGCAAGGTCTGGCTAGGGATCTAAATAGTGTTCCTTTCTGGTCAAAATAGCAGAATTTTTAAAATTTGACAAGTCATCTATGCTACCAATTTGGCTATTGTGATCCTAAATGTGAAACACACTTTGAATTCTCTTTGAATTACCCGACAATTCTCACTTTGGTAAATAATCCTGTTTGAGGAATGGACACCAAAATGAACATTCCAAAATACATTCATCATTTTTCTATTACGAAAACATGTGTATAGTCTTTTATGGAGGATGTGCTTTTCCAACTATGCCAAATGGTGACTCTGCATTAAGACCTCTTTAATATGAGACACTGCCGACTGCTGTAGTGGTTATGGTGCCATGTGTGCCCTGGCACTGTCCCACAGTAAGCAGACACACTGTTGTTGTACTGTTTGACAGCTTACTTTGGTCCCTCATCCAGTCTTATCCTGCAGGAGAAGCTGGAAGTCTCTAGAAAGGCTGCGTTCATATAGTGCTTCCCAGATTCTCCTGCAGTAGAAGACCGGATGCAGGTGGACATTCCTGCAGTCAGCATGCCAATTGCACGCTCCCTCAAAACTTGCGACATCTGTGGCATTGTGCTGTCTGATAAAACTGCACATTTTAGAGTGACCTTTTATTGTGGCCAGCCTAAGGCACACCATTGCAATAATCATGCTGTCTAATCAGCATTTTGATATGCCACACCCGTGAGGTGGATGGATTATCTCGACAAAGGAGAAGTGCTCACGAACACAGATTTAGACAGATTTGTGAACAATATTTGAGAGAAATAGGCCTTTTGTGTACATAGAAAAAGTTTTAGATCTTTGGGTTCAGCTCATGAAAAATGGGGGCAAAAACAAAAGTGTTGTGTTTATAATGTTGTTCAATGTATATACGTGTGTATATATATATATATATATATACTATTGTACTGTTACTTTACGTAAATCGGTACTGTGCTTGTAGGAAGTCTTGCACAATATGCTGTAATGAAATAGTTAATAGCTAGTTTCCATCCCTCATGTTAGTCTTGTAAAGGAATGGTAATGAGTAGATTCAGGTTTGTGTAACAAGAGATACAAGGTTATATATTATGTAAGAGTAGTGACAGATTCCTCCATCTCTCCTGCCGTACTCTCAAATGTCACCTTTTTTCTCATTCAGTGGCATTCCCATTTATTGGTGGCCTGTACATTTTCTGGTTATAACATGTTCACAGATGGTGGTAAACCATGTCTTTGATGTTTAAATATGATTTGCAAATTTTGCCATACACTACTTGTTATCGTGTATGGAATTTTGTGTTCATCTTTTTATCTTTTCCCTCATTCCAACATCCTTGTGTTAATCAATGCAATACCTCTAATACCTGCCCAATGTGTCCTGCAGGTTCTGCGCAGTCATGTCATGGTGCGAGTTGGGGGTGGCTGGGACACATTAGAGCATTATTTGGACAAGCATGATCCCTGCAGATGTCAGGCTGTATGTAAGTATGTGCCCTGCGGAAAGCTTGTGAAAGCTTGTGAAACTGCACGTACAGCATATACAGTGGAATAACATCATTGGTATACTCCTAATATACTTAACTCTGACTATACTCTGTAATACACATCTATCAACACTGCAAATCACTACCTAATCCAGAGGGAGCATCTGTTGTTTTAGTGCAGGGGTCCTCAAACTCCGGCCCACCAGATGTCGCTGAACTACAACTCCCATGATTCTCTGGCTATCTATGTAAGTCAAAGAATCATGGGAGTTGTAGTTCAGCAACATCTGGGGGGCCGGAGTTTGAGGACCCCTGTTTTAGTGAGTCTCAACTGGACATGTCATTTTTATAGGGCTATAGGTAACCGCCTAAACTATATTATCTAGTGAAACAACACTGCCTTGTCCAGCACAGTGAAGGCATTGTGCATTGAGAAGAGTTATTTTGTTGAATTTGTTATATGTCTTTCAATAGCTTACTTGATCAAGCTTAAAATTGAGTAATGGTTGGTCAAGCTATTGAAGCTAACATAATTTGGGTTGTCAAAAAAAAACACTGCCCTAATTGCAAAGATTGGGAAATCAAGTCACTCCCCAGTGCGGAAAAAAACGCTCTAAACATAAAAAAGTAAACTGAATTATAACATGTGGGTAGATTTAAACAGATGGATAAATCTATTTGAAAGCTATTCCACTTAATATACTGGATTGCATTATTGATTTTCACATCTTAGTGACACATATGAAGGCGTAGCCTGTAATTGTGGGAGGGGTTACCTGGCTATAAAAACTCAGGCCCCCTCCATTACAAGACCGTCACTGCTGGGTTCATCCCTCTCACCTCTCCCCTTTATTACAATTTAATGGGTGGGCCCTCTTTTATCACAGGCCTACCCTAAACGTCGGTTCTGGCACACCACAACCAACTTGTGCTTACTTCTACTTACATTATTACAGCTTATGTCCCTGGCTACAAATATACATTTAAAAGCAGTTACATTAAAAACAAAGATCTAATAGGTTTTTTACAGATTAGTAAAAAATAAATATTAATAAAAATACTAAATACTGTTAGTGGAACTTTCAGAACCAACACTTAAAGAAGGAGAGAGGCAGGCAGCCTGTTCTGCAAGGGGTGGGTGCAAACAATGTATTTTGTTAGTTTTGGAGATGTGATAAAGAAGCTCTGTTCCTTCTGTTTGGCCATTTTGTAAGGTAGGAGATAACATTTTCTATATTTAATTATTTTTTAACCAGTTAACAGTTGAAAATGTACCAATGCAATCTCATCTTCTTCCCTGCAAATCTAAACTGAGAGAAAGAACAGAGCACAGAATTTTGGTTCTTGTTTGCAAACATTTAACATGTTTAAAAGGACACTCCAGGCACTAACAGAACTTCAGCATATTCGATGTGTTCGGACCCATATTCATGTTGTATTTTCACATTTAAAACTCTTTAGTTTTGTTAATCCAGTAACAGTGTTAGGACATGCCATTATGTTCTACAAAACCCGGGCTTTAGCAAGGTTAGCATATCCTAACATCCTTGCTCACACTAGGGAGGCCCAGGACCAATCAATACCAGGGGATCCCCTCTGTCAGCTGAGGACATATTTAGTGGTCCTGGCTGACAAATGAGCTGTATGCAATGCTCAAAGTGCTGTGGTGATTTACGGGCTGCATTGTGTTTGAGGAAGGCCACCAGAGTCTCCCTGCTTACCCTCCTGCTGATTGTGATCAGTGCTGGCATTTGCCAGCTGCCCAGCACCAATCACAGTGTTATCAGCAATAGCAGCATTCCCTAGCTGTAGCATAAGAGCATTGAATAGTGAGAAAAATATATTAATATGATGCCAAAACCCATGTAGATGCCCAGGGTGTTCCTTTAACCTTACATTTACAGTTTACATTTGAAACTGCTTATTAGTTTTTTGTTTGTTTGTTTTTGCTTGTTTTCAGCTGAATATGTTTCTAGATATTATTTACTACAGAGTAATACTGACTAATGTAGTTTGTGATGAACTATTGATTTTTTTTTTTACAATCTCGATTTTAATTGTTAGAGTTAACAACTTTACTGTTGTGTTGTTGGTTTATTGGGCAGAAGGGCACTCCATGTCTTTATCTTTTGCTAATATTTAACCTGTTTATATAATCCTTTCATACATCTTCTTTATTAGTTTAGTATTAGTAAATGCTAAGCCAGGTGTGATTGTATCACCAATACAAAGGACTCTGTTGGAAAAAGAGGTTCACATATCCAAAAATGTGGACCCTCCAAGACAAGTAAAGTTTGGTTTATGTTGGAGCAAACCTTACTTCCTTGGCAGATACCCTTGAGTGAAGATTGTGACACTCGTTGAAAAGAAAGCTAATATGTGCAAGTAGAAATTCAATGCATTTTATAATGTATAGTTATATCATTGCCCTGAGCTGCCTATATTTTTAAAACATTACTAATTGCTCTATACAGCACATCGTGTACAGACATCACGTCCGGTAAACTTCTCTCCTCAGCGTGGATCCAGTGTTACCCCACAGCCCATCTCCAGCCCTTCTCATGTGCGAAGATCTGATGCAACATCTAAAAACATTCAACAGCCACAGCCCCAGGGAAAATCTAATCGTTTTACTCCTGCACCTACACCACAACGGCACAATTTGCCCCGGAATTCACTTCCAAACAGAGAGCGGCCTGGAGCACAAAATATCAACTCATTCAGGTGTGTATTCTTGCTTCTGCTAATCATTAGCTTATTGAATTAATTACCATATTTTTTGGAATATCAGACTTACTTATTTACAGCAAAAGTCAGCTTATAGTGTATCATGGATGCAGTGTGTGCGTATGGGATGGGATGGAGTGTGTGTGCAGGGGATGGAGTGTGTATGTGTGTATAGTTAATCCAATATGTTTGGGGTAAGAAACTGCACCCTGTATTTAAAAAAATATGGTACATGTTTGTTAACATTACTTTATCCTGTTTGATATAGCTGTTTCACTTTCTCTCAGTATGTTTTTTTGTTGTTTTTTCAGCATACCTTCTCACTGGTACACTGTCAATGGAAAGTTTCCCTTGCTATCTTTTTTGCAATTAATCAGTTTGGAACAGTTTTATCTCACTTGCGTGACATGATGCTCATATTTGTCAAGATATGCAGATGCTTAACACCTCTGCTGCAGAAATAACTTGACAAAGAGAAAAGGCTGCTGCCAAAGGGGATAAAACTGGGGGCAGAGTGTTCCTTTAAAAATGTTCAGAAACTTTCCATAATGCAGTGATACTCTGTAAAACTCAGTTTTGCTTTCATTCTTTTTCTTTAATAAGGGATCACAGTTGTATTCACTTCAGAGAGACTTATTTGGATCTGTATCTATGTCACATTTACAGCCATCCCAATGAATACAAAAAAATATATTATCTCCCCCTACAATTCTCTGATATTATAACTGAATAAGGTGTGACAGTTGATTGTGTTCATATATGACCCTGGTTACATGCGCTATTTCTTCTACTCTATAAAGTCAATAATACACAAAGATAAGTTGATCTTAGGTAAAAGAAGATGATTAGAGACGTTTGAATATGTTTGTAGAATTATGAATCATTCCTACTTTTACTTTGATTGTTTCAGAAAGTGTGTATTTTATTCATTCCCACTTAAGTATCTTCTGGTCACTGATCATGATTTCAATTATGCTTGAAAAACCTCAACACAGCCAATCAGAGCACAACTTTTATTATTTTTGTTTCCATTCTTTATCTCTGCAAATGTCAAAATCTCTTTTTTTTTCTTTTTCCGAATCTGCAGAAAATGTTGCTGCAGTAAAATGGATAATAAGCTAGTCTCCTACATTTGACATATTTATGGAATGTTACCGCATTGCACCATTTCGTATAAAACATGTATAATTTCTGATCTTTGACATGTTTAATTGTTGTCAAGCGAGAAGAATATTTGGCTGCAGTCATGCATCTCAAAGAAAGGGCTTTGATAAATTAAGGACCATTGTTTTCATAATAGATTATAGGGGTTCAAAACTGTTAATGAATTTAGCTTAATTGTACTCATCTTTAAACACGTTAAATGGGGAATGTAAATTCTCTGGAATTTACATAATTGAAGAAAACATTGAAAATCATCCAATAATGTTTGTTAACCTTTTTTGTAATGAGATGCTGTTTCCTTTTAAAAACATACTAAAGATTTAGCAAATAACATCATTATCCTGCTCAGAAGAGGCAAAGCGGGCAAACATTGAAAATAAAGAGGAGAAATAGAAACATTGTTTAATTACTCCTCTGCTGCATCTGCTTTCCCTATGTTTACTGTCAAGTGCAAAGTTCAGTATTTAATAATGATTGCAGGGAATTAAAGGAACACTATAGTCACCTAAATTACTTTAGCTAAATAAAGCAGTTTTAGTGTATAGATCATTCCCATGCTATTCCACTGCTCAATTCACTGTCATTTAGGAGTTAAATCACTTTGTTTCTGTTTATGCAGCCCTAGCCACACCTCCCCTGGCTATGATTGACAGAGCCTACATGGGAAAAAAACTGGTTTCACTTCCAAACAGATGTAATTTACCTTAAATAATTGTATCTCAATCTCTTGTTTGACAGTTCTCCTCAATTCTGACTTAGTGAATATATACGCAAAATAATTTCTGTTGTTGCTGTTTAGGAGTACAGATCATGCCCCTGCTACCTCATGGCTCAATTCTCTACCATTTAGGAGCTAAACAACTATTGTTTCTGTTTATGTTTGCCCTGGATACGCCTCCTCTGGCTGTGACACATGCAGCTTCACTGAAATTTTTTTTTTTTTCTTTTTCAATCAAATCTTAAAGTTTGACAGCACAATGTGTTTACTTTAGACGTTATTTCCATCCCTAGCTCTAGGGTATTAGAAGAGCAGGAACTAAATCCTAAATTAATACACTACAATACGGAAAGCTAAGAGATGAAGACTCTTTTTTTTCTGGAAGTATGGGAGTCTGTGTGGGTCTCAACTAGAGGAAATGTGGCTTAGGGCTACATAAACCAGTGATTTAACTCCTAAATAGAAGAAAATTGAGCAATGACACTGCAGGGGATATCTACTTTAGTTAATGTTGTTTTGGTGCTTAGAGTAACTCTTCAAAGTCTTTGAAAATCAAATACTGTGTATAAAGAGAAGACTGTTAATTGGGTTCTCTGATCTCTCTGTGCTTTCTATTACCCAAAGCTTTGTAAATTATTTAAACAGCGGAATGTGAGCTACAGCCAGTGATAATTAGGAATGGTGACATAACCTGGTTACTTAACTCCTACTCCAGAAATTATGTTTTGGGGAGGGGTTGTTTTGTTTTTTACATAAAATAGTAGTTGTCAGACACTCAACAACTTTTATTATTCAATCTTGAAAACATATTTACTAACTATAGTAAATAAAATTAATTTTATTTTAAAATATATATAGCAATGACATGGTTAACAATTATATAACAATAGATACAACAGAAAAATGGACGAAAATATCCAAATTTGGGAACCCTATATGTCTACTTTAGATCCTCCCCTAAAAAACTAAATTAAAAGTTGTCTTTCAAAATACCTAACAAGCCTGTTTACCATGGAAAATACCCCAAATTCCATTTAGTTTCTAACTTGAAAATCAGGCTTCTCCATATGTAATCATTGTGTAGCAAAAGCAAGTATCAAATAACTTTAAAAGAACACTATAGTCACCTAAATTACTTTAGCTAATTAAATCAGTTTTAGTGTATAGATCATTCCCCTGCAATTTCACTGCTCAATTCACTGTCATTTAGGAGTTAAATCACTTTGTTTCTGTTTATGCAGCCCTAGCCACACCTCCCCTGGCTATAAATGACAGAGCCTGCATGAAAAAAAAAACTGGTTTCACTTTCAGATGTAATTTACCTTAAATAATTGTATCTCAATCTCTAAATTGAACTTTAATCACATACAGGAGGCTCTTGCAGGGTCTAGCAAGCTATTAACATAGCAGGGGATAAGACAATCTTAATTAAACAGAACTTGCAATAAAGAAAGCCTAAATAGGGCTCTCTTTACAGGAAGTGTTTATGGAAGGCTGTGCAAGTCACATGCAGGGAGGTGTTACTAGGGTACATAAACAAAGGGATTTAACTCCTAAATGGCAGAGGATTGAGCAGTGAGGCTGCAGGGGCATGTTCTATACACCAAAACTGCTACATTAAGCTAAAGTTGTTCAGGTGACTATAGTGTCCCTTTAAGATTGAGGCGTCCAGTTTCTGTATACAGTGATATGGATGCATACATTTAATTTTATGTTTCACACCTCACAAATACATCCTTGTTAAATACAAGGATAAGTAAACATAACATTACAATTACTAGGACAGTTTTCCTAGAGACATTAGAAAGAGACAGATGTTTCCAACCAGACAGGTCAACTTCTATTTAAAATACTGTATTGTTGCATTCACAACTAAGGTAGGCAGAATTTGTCTTCTGACTGGAGCTCCAAAGTGCGTTGATAGACTTCTTTGATCTCTAGAACAGTGGAGATGGGATTAATCTCAATACCGATATTGCTTTCTTAGATTCCCTCACTATACCTCCAACTGCAATAATCTGCCATTCTTTTTTGTATTTATTAGTTTTTTTAAGTCAATTCTTCTGGCTTCCTGTCTTTTCAAACTTTTTTTTTCAATTTCTTCTCTCAGGCCTCCTCGCTTACGTCGCTACTCTGGTGATAGTGATTCTTCTGCCTCCTCTGTTCAGAGTGCCCCTGGAGGAAGAAAGTCGGTAGAGAACATGAGACTTGGACCTCGTGGTTCTGTAACACGCAGCCAGTCCCAGGACCGGGGCCCTCTTCCCTGCAGAACACAGGTTTCCCAGTCTCCGCTTACTGATCGTGGCAGAACACACGGCTCTTCCTCAGGTGGTCCTCAAAATCGTAGGGCGCGTAGTCAGGGACCCCCTAGTAACAAGAAGACAGTTCTTCTCATAACACGAGACAAAGAGGGCCAGCACTCTTGGACATCTGCAACCACTTCCAAGCCCCCTAATCCTCGCACCCAAACAGAACCTCACCAAACACACACTTGCAGGCAACTAAATTACACACCTGAACCTTTGGATGTGCGCCAAGAGCAGCAAATTTATCGTTGTCTAGAAAAGGAATTCCTGGAAAATACACGTCTCTTGAGAACTTCCGAGTCATTTGGGCCTCAACATGGAGCTGGTATTCTTGTGAGTCCACCTTTATCTGAGCCAGCTGCAGTAGACTCTGCATACTGCTCCTCCAGCTCTTCATCCTCCTCACTCAACTTCTACATCACAGGTGGGGGTGGTGGAGGAGGCAGGGAGCAAATAGGTGATGGAAACCCAGTAATATTGCCTACATCAGCCTGGAGGCGGCTTCCAGCATTATCCAGTTCTTCAGATGACAGCTCCTGTCCACCTGCTCCAGAGGAACTGCAGGAACTGGCTGAGAACGAAGGTGAGAATGAAGATTCTTATGACTCCCCTGATCTTGATACTGAAACAGGTGGAGTTGTTCTGAGACCCAAGAAAAGTCAAAAGCGCCCAGACCGAGTACCTTCCATTTATAAACTGAAGCTGCGTCCTAAAATACGTCCTCGAACTGACATACAGCCAGATAAATTACCTACCCGCATCCCTACCCCACTTAATTATAGAACTGCTGGCTCGCCTCCTAAAGCTAACCCCAACCGGCGCACATGGAGAGCTAAACAAGCTGTCTTCTTCTCTGATTCAGGAGTCCAGGCAGAGCATCCCTGCGGATGAAGCAGTATCGAGGATTACGGGAGACTTGATAGTGAGGATTAATATTCATTTCTCAGCTCTGAACCCCCATTATTTGCCAGAGTCTCAGAATATACTTTTTAAGATCTGAAATCCATCTTTCGTGACAAAGGGGGTTAAGATTGGATGACTTTTGAAAAAGCTATGCAGAACCCTTGAATTATAACTCTACACTCAGGGCATGAATCCTAAGCTATATTGGAGCACGAAGAGGCACGCATGCTCATTCTATAGTGCAGCATGATGACACTGTTAAAGAAGTAAATCATCCTAGAACATAGTATGGTGTTCATGTCACTACTATTTAAAATGCCATACTATTTATTCAGGGGATTATTAACTACAGAAATTCACTACACAACTTAGTATGTCAGTTTTTATGTGCTTCCATCTAACAGTTATTCTAGTCCTTTACATTTATTTAATCTTTGTTTTTGACAATCCATGTATTGGATTTAAATATTTCAAAGTGAATGTTGAGAAAAGTCCAGTATCACTACATGATAATCCAGCCATCACAAATGATTGAAAATCAATAATGATCTTTGTTTATTTCTGTTTTTATCAGAAAAAAAAAAATGATGGCTCATAAAAAAGATAGTGTGGAACGTCTTCCTAATGTAGAAATTTACAGTGCACAGGATAAGTATTTTATCCAAAATCAGGATAAGTTCCCTAACTAAAAAAGATGCAACTAACCACCACTACGTGGCGTCAGGAGAATACGATTTCATTTCTTGTTGCTGTACCAAAGAGCAAATTGCATTGCTAAGGCAGTTGTCAATAATAATTAATCGGTAAGATGCTTGACTTGGCCTCTGCTACACCATATTTAAAATATGCAAGCCTTTTGTAACATTCCAGCACCGTGATGTGTAGCTGCCTTACACTAACTGGGTTATCAGTGCGATAGTTTGTGTTGACCTGTATAAAAGACTGCTCACCCAGCTTTATATATAGTGTTAATCTTGTCTTGATGATGACCACAACATGCTACAAAATTAGACAAGTGTTTCGGTTCTGTTGTCGTATTGCTTTATTTTTAAAGGCAGTACAAATATCCATAGTACAGAATAAATGAACCATGGAACAAAGCAAAGGGTAAAGGTGGAGCCCTTGGCAAGAACAGCATATATAAAGACAAATGAGAAATTCACCTTAGTAATTCTAGATAGAGTAAAAGCATTACATCGGTCGATTTTCCATTTATTGCCTTCTATAAATAAGATAATAGGAAGAACTTCACTTTTTAGTAGAGTGAATATATGGAAAATATTAATCAGATCCGTTATAATGATGTATTGGAATAGGAGATGTTTTGTGAGAGACAGCAGAAGGAAGTATTTGAGAGTTAAATGACACAGGAAAGGGGTTATTGAACGGACTGGATGATCGGAACCTGGATTTACTGGGGGATGTTAGTTAGAGCAATAGAAAGATTTGTCGGAAGGATTTTGTTGGCACACTTGCAGGGTTTATTCGGACAGATTATATGGAGCAATTGGAGGAATTTTTGAAGCAATAGGAGGAGCTAATAGGAGAGATAACATGGAGCTGTAAAAGAAATTATATGGTAAGGTATTACAGAGCAATAAGGAGGAATTATTTGGTACGGTTATGTGGGAAATAGGAGGCGTTATTGAGAAAGGTGTTATGGAACAATAGAAGATATTAGGAGAGGTTATATGGATTGATAGTTAGAGAAGAATGAATGGAGCAATATGGTAATTGCAGAGGGAGGTTATACGAGAAACGGTTGTGTTAGAACGTATGGATGCAGAAATAAAATGATTTATAGGGAGAAGTCATGATGAGGATTATTATGAATTATTATAGGAGAAAACATATGGTGAATTAGTAGGTACAGATTGTATAGAGAAGTATGGTGGACTGTATAGCAAGTATATGTAATACTGAGCAATAGTTCTTTAAAAGAACAGACATTTTACAATAACAATCATCTGTAAAATATTGATTGGTGCGGGAGTGGTAATACAGTTATAACTTGCATGTCTGTTAATGCAGTGGTGATCTGAATTAATTTATAGTTTATTTATAATTAAAGTTAGCAATAGACGGATGACTGCATGTCAATCTGGCCAGCCTTATTCCCAGTCTGGACTGCGAGTGTACTCCTCTCAGGTGGAATGCTTATGGTATTGCTGGCCTATTAGAGCCTAATCAAAGGGAGATGACAGGTCATAGACTGCCAAGGAACCTATTAAAGACTATTCCCAGGTGTTTGACGTGTAGAATAGAACACTGGGAACTGGGAAAGACCACGTCTCAGAGCACTTATCTGCTACAGACTGTATATTTTTATATTTTCAAGCAATCTTGATTAACAAATCCTGTGTTTCCTGGTTGCTTCTTAAAGAGTAAAGTTCTATTTATTGAGACAGGATAAAATCTGCTGTTTACAGAGTGGGTGGGAGTGCAAGATGATTAAATGTTTGTGAGTAAAAAAAAAATGTTTTATGGTTCCTCTTAAGAGCCTGGACATGAGACATATTCTAATTATTGTGGGCAATGGAGAAATCAGATAGTCTGTTTTATTTTTAGACATATTACATGCTACACATATTATAAAAATTTAACTTCTGTAATACATGGTAGCATTGACTGCACAGGTCTAACCACAGGTCCAACTACTGTCATCCCTCTTAGCTTCGCCCTGCAGAAACATTACTGAGCTTTGCATTTCATGGGGACATTCTAGAGAGGGAGAGAGGTGTGTAAGTAGATTGAAAGTGTTTGTGGTTGTTTACATGTTCTTGGACGTCGCTGTGCACACTGAAGTATTTGTTGACCTGTGTATATATGTATACAGAAATGGGTTTGGGTTTCATTCATATGTGTGTTAAGTAAAGAGGTCTGCTTAAACATGACAAGTATAAATGTGTATCATTTTTTTTTTGCTGCTGATTAAACTAATTTCAAAATTCCGACATCTCTGTGTATGTGAGACTATGACAAATGCACACTAAATGAAACAATCTAATCTGTGTGCACATTTATAGCAGAACCGTCATTGTGTAGTTGTTACATCGATCAAGGTTTTTAAATCTCAGACAGTCTAAGGGAGCCCTTTTTGTAAGTGTCTGTGTTACTGACAGATTGAGGTAGTCCTTGTCCTCTGTGTGTGGTACTGTCAGACTTAGAGAACCGTGAGGGTGACCATGTGAGATGCCACTTCCATTGTGGTTAGGGAAAACTGTGAAAGCCTTTCTCCTGTTTGTGTGTGAATAATACTGACATACGTATTGTACAGCGCTACGGAATAATTATAGCAATAATCTGTCCATGCTACAGACAAGAGAGAGTATTCTCTTAGTGTGCCTATGTGCCAATCTCTGTGTCACAAATCCACTCTTAAGTGTTCAGTCTCTTCAGATCACACAACAGAAAGGCTCACTCAATTTGTGTTAGATACACACATTTCTCTGTCAGCCTATCATAAAGTAGCCCTTATTGTGGTGTATGACACTGATAGACCAAACAATCCCTCTGTTGTGTGTGGCACTAAGTGACAGACTGAGGAAACTCTTCTTGTATATGAAACAGCCACCATAACTTGTGCATGACACTGACAGACGTAACTAGCCCTTTAGCTCGTGTATGTGGCAATGAATGTAGACTAGAATGAAGGGGTTCTCTTTTTATGTAAATGACGCTGATAGATCCCCAAGGGTGTTCAACAGACAGACTGAAGGAGTCTCATTCCTAAGTGTTTTTAACAGGCTGACTGAAGGAGATATTCCTGTGTGTGTGACACTGACAGAGGGGAGACTACAGCCATCAAAAGTGGGTTACAAAACTTGCATCACATGATGCTGCATCGTTCCCTGTGCAGAGCTCCTTGTAGGCAGATGCTGCTGGTAGTGCGCCTCCCTCTGGCAGACATGCTGATCAGCAGCTCCTTGAAGAGCAGGAGGATATGCCAGTTGTTCCGAGCTGAGCACTCTAAATAACCACATTTCCAGTTCTTTTTCACCAGCACCGACAAAACATGGCGAAGGGCAAAGCGATGTTTCTGCTGGTCTCTCTTATTACCAACCACAACTATCAGTGGGGGCTTACTGGCACTGTGGAGACAAAAGGGGGAGGGGCACCATATTAGCTATTGACTGCTTGTATTGCCAATACTAACCATTTCATTACTTATACAATATAGAAGACATTTCTGCCAGACAATCTTACATATGTGGCACAGAAAATGTTAGCACTGGGTGTGAAAATGTATGATTCTTTAGCACTGATTAAACAAAGTTTAGAGGTGTAATTATAGTGAATATTTAAATTACTCAGGCTATATTTAATACTACACTATATTCAGGCCCTTCTTTTTCGCGGGGCAACTGCCGTGGGCCCCATAACGTACATGGGCCCTCAGCAGCTGTTTCTTGCACCGTGAGGCGAACTAACCAGGCATAGGTTAGTGTCCCCACTGCGCATGTCAGCCACCTGGTTCGTTTGCTAAAGATGGCTGCCATGACGTGCTGCATTGCTGACTATATTGTATTATTTATGCTTTTGTTTTTACGAAACAAACTCTACATTAGGGCAAACTGGTTAGCATAAAAAAGTGTTTTTGCACTCCTCTTGCCATTTTTGGTTTTAGTGTATAGATCATGCCTCTGCAGTCTCACTGCTCAATTCTCTGCCATCTAGGAGTTAAATTATATTGTTTATGCAGCCCAAGCCACACCTGCTCTGGCTATTATGCACACCCAACCTACAAACTTCCAGAACAAGCTCAGATTTTCTTTTACTTCCTTTATAGCACAATGTGTTTACTTTAGAATTTCTTATTGCCTGCTCTGTCAGTTGCCTCCTGCTAGATCCTATAGCCGCCTTCTGTGTGCATTTAAAGTTCTATCAATAGAGCAGGAGATAAAAACGTTTAAAGTAAACTGTGCAATAAAAATTAAACGTGTTATATCATGGAGACTGTGTGACGGGCAGGTGTGGCTGGGATTTAATTACAAAACAACAGACATTTCTGTTAAAGGGACACTTTAGGCACCCAGACCACTTCAGTTCATTGAAGTGGTCTGGATGCAAATTCCCATAATCACCCTTAACTCTGAGCATGTAGTTATTGCAGTTTTTATAAACTGTAAAAATTACCTGCTAGGGTTAAGTCCTAGAGGGACTTCCAGTATTTTAGACGACTTTTGGTCATCTAAACGAAGCTGGACGTCCTCACGCTATGTATACAGACTTCCAGCGTCACCGGAATCCCCATAGGAAAGCATTAAATAATGCTTTCCTATCGGGAGATCCTAATGCAAGCGCGGCCAGGAGGAGGAGCGTGGGCGGAGTTGAGCCAGAGTTGGGGAGCAGCGTGGGCGGATTTGAGCCAGCGCAGAGTTACATCTGCACTGGAACCAGGTAAGTGACAGAAGGGGTTAGCAACACCTTCTGCACCACTTGACATAAGTTTGTTTTCCTGGCACTATAGTTTCCCTTTAAATGTGAAGATAGGAAAGTAAAGTAACAAGAACACTGCCAAACACGCTGTAGAACACGCTGTAGAAGATATGGTGGTTTAACAACTTCCATGGGGCTTACTGAGAACCAGTCACTTCCTCCTCTGCAGTTTTAGTGCTTGGAATGTCCCTTTAAATTACTTTAATAAGAAACATTGGGAGCAATAGGACATTCAAATAGCTAACAAAAGGTTAGCTATTGGTTTGCCTTTTGGTTAATAAATGCTTCTCTTATGATTTTTAAATTTCTATTGAATGAATTATACTGGCACAAATACTACATATATCATAATTCTCTGGGGGGATGCCAAGTCTGTAAGTGCATGTAGAATATATTGGCAATATGTTTTAACTAACCTTCTGAGCACACAATGACCCTAATCAGTGGCGTACATGCCGCAGTCGTCGCAGCTGTGACCGGGCCCGCCACTCCAGGGGGCCCGGCCGCCCTGTGGACCCCTGTGACCGGGTATCCGCCGCCATCATCTTCTGTGGCCCCGGCCCACGTGGCAAACCGCCGGGGCCGCCGTCCAAGGGGTCCATCGGGAGGCCCATGCTGTCAGGGCCACCTGATGGATATGGATTGTCAGGGGGCGCGGTCAGCGCTGGGGCCCCCTGTGATGACATCACAAGCTGGGAGGAAGTGACGTCACTCCTCCCAGCTAACACTGAGAGCTGCGCGGGAGGAAGACCAGGGAGTCAGAATGGGAACTCTGACTCCCATCCACCTGAGCCACCACTGGACCCCAGTCACCCTCCTGCACCTAAAAGGTAGGAAACAGGAGGGTGACTTAAACATTTTGGTGTGTGTGTGCCTGTCTATTTGTATGTGTGTCTGTGTGTGTGTCTGCCTGTATGTATGTCTTTGTATGTATGTGTGTGTGCCTGTCTGTGTATGTATGTTTGTGTGTGTGTGTGTGTGCTTGTCTGTTTGTATGTATGTGCATCTTGTGTGTGTATGTGTGCCTGTCTGTATGTGTGTGTGTGTCTGTATGTGTGTCTGTCTGTCTGTATGTGTGCCTGTCTGTTTGTATGTATGTGTCAGTGTGCCAGTATGTGTGTCGGTCTGTGTGTGTCTGTCTGTATGTATATATGTCTACCTGTCTGTTAGTTTGTTTGTATGTATGTATGTATGTATGTATGTGTGTGTGTGTGTGTGTGGTGGGAGGGAGGGGGGCCCACGGATCATTTTCGCACCGGGGGCCCCATGGTTTGTGTGTACGTCACTGACCCTAGAAAACACTTCAGTAATATTATATGGGGTGAGAATAAGAATTCACTATTGGAAAAGTCACAGTTCCTCTTTAAAGGAACACTGTAGTCACCTAAATTACTTTAGCTAAATAAAGCAGTTTTAGTGTTTAGATCATTCCCCTGCAATTGCACTGTTCAATTCACTGTCAAATCACTTTGTTTCTGTTTATGCAGCCTAGCCACACCTCCCCTGGCTATGATTGACAGAGCCTGCATGAAAAAAAAAAACTGGTTTCACTTTCAAACAGATGTAATTTACCTTAAATAATTGTATCTCAATCTCTAAATCGAACTTTATTCACATACAGGAGGCTCTTGCAGTGTCTAGCAAGCTATTAGCATAGCTAATAGCTAGGGGATAAGAAAATCTTAATTAAACAGAACTTGCAATAAAGAAAGCCTAAATAGGGCTCTCCTTACAGGAAGTGTTTATGGAAGGCTGTGCAAGTCACATGCAGGGAGGTGTGACTAGGGTTCATAAACAAATGGATTTAACTCCTAAATGGCAGAGGATTGAGCAGGGAGGCTGCAGGGGCATGTTCTATACACCAAAACAGCTTCATTAAGCTAAAGTTGTTCAGGTGACTATCGTGTCCCTTTAAAGTGAAAATCAAGTTTTACTCTTTTTATTTCAATTAATTGAAAGCTAAAATGATGTAAGCATTACAGTTAAAACAGCTATCTTTCATTTTCACTTTGTCTGTTGTATCCCCGGTCTCCTACCCCAGCCATCTCTCATTGTATTCAAGCACTCATTCGATGGTGCCTGTGTCCTGTCTGCAGCCTGTGTTGGTTTTTTTTCCTTCAGGAGAATTCTGGCACACCCTTTCCTGCATACATGGAATTATAGTGTGCACTTGTTTGCTAATAGAAACATGATTTTCCATTAGTACACTCTACACATTCGAATATTACATGCACCGGACAGTGTGATAACGTTACCCACAACATCAAGTCGTTATGTCACAGCCACAGTGGGTCCCTATTAGAGAATTAAATAAAACAACTCAGAAGCAGCAGATACAGGCCTCCCAACTGTCTTAGTTTTGGTGGAACAGTCCTGATTTTTCTGACTTTTCCCTCTTTTGGAGACTGTCCCCAACAAGCATAGGGTGGATGCATCATTGCACCCTCTTGCGCTATACTCAGGGAATTAGCACTGAAACAGTGTCTTTGCAGGGTCTGCTCTTAGTAGGCCAGCCTGGATAATGGACAGGTAGCCCTTCTGAGGGGCTCTGCTCACTTTGGGTAGCGCCAGTGACACAATTGCATTACTGATTCTCCCCCTTTCCTGCCCTCCCACCAGTCTCCTAATTTAGAGGACGCCAGAGTTGAGAGGTATGCAGATATCATCTCATGTCTGCTGGAATACAAACAGGGTTATTCACAAAAATGAAAATTGTTTGGAATTTGAAGTGAATTCAATGTGAATAGCCATATTGTAAGCATTGCCCTTCAATGTAAAGGGAGGCATGCAGTTCCCTTTAATGTGTTTTGTCACGGTCTGTTCACATTATAGAAATCATGTCATACATTTGTGTTAGGACATGGGTTCTCCATTTTATTGATGAGGACACACTCTCCTGATACACGTAGTGGCCAGTCGTAGTCTCAGATCAAAATGATTAGTGCAGTGAGTTACTCCGAGTAATGTTAACTAAACTTTGTTCCTATTCTCTGATGACAAGTGACATCAGCTCCTCACCGTTCCATGTGTGGCAGCATACACGTGTTTTGGGGACACCAAATCCAAGTAACAAAGTGAACAGATCTTTAGGGCATAAAGGGTCTTTGAAGCCTTTGGATTTCTTATAATTGTAGTCAGCAGCCAAACTTAAAAGAGGGTCAGCGGTAAACTTGGAGGTTTGTTTCAGTGTGAACTGCAATTACAATGAAATTGGGCGGACAGGTGATCAGTTAAATTACTGAACTCTAAGCCAAAATTTAACGAAAAAAACAAAACATGCTGTGGCCGAGCATGCTCGTTTTGATTTCTGATTCTGAATTCTGCGGATGGGGTAAAAAAAAAAAAAAAAAGGGGGATGATTGATTGCAGGATAAAAATGATTGAGAGTTAGGGGGGCAGTCACTAAATGATGATATTATTCACAGATCAAGTAAGAAGTGAACAATAGAGGGAAAATGAGAAGGAGCAGTAAAAATCAATCTCTCTATATTAAATATATATACAGATTTTTTTTTTCTGTTCCCCCTGATTTTACCTCTACAGGTGGTACTCATTTTACGACCTACCTGTTATATGACTGCTCGGACTTACGACCAGCTCTCTAGCGAGGGATTCCCTACGTTGATATTTGGTCTATGTTCACAGAATTTTCCCCAATCATAGATTCGCAGGATTCCCTCCGCTAGGGAACTGGTCTATCTCAGAGGTAATTCCCCTGAACTTAGACCTGCTCTCTAGCGCATCCTCACTTACCGACCAATCCGCTTTAAGAGCGAGTCGTAAGAACGGAACCCAGTTGGTAAGTGAGGTTTGCCTGTATTGGTTACTTTTTCCCACTAGATCTGTGAACCAAATAGCGAAAAATGTTCATATAAGTGGACTGCAAATTACTTACGTAATATTATGCATATATTTTTCAGTACACTGATTGTCCCAATTTTGCGTCATCTGATTTGGTTACCGAACTGGATTCTGAAACTGCTATGTTTATGAAAAAATGGGTTAACCCTAGCTGGACCAGGCACCCAGACCACTTCATTAAGCTGAAGTGGTCTGGGTGCCTATAGTGGTCCTTTAAAGTATTATTTTTTTCCCATTTGTTATTGTGGTCTAAAGTTTAAAACTAATTTGTCTGTAACTTTAAATCATTAAGAACTTATTAAGGAGAAACAGCATCCATCTGCATCAGTCATCCAGAACTGAAAAAGGAAGAGTAAACAGTATGACTTTACACTTTTATTACTTACAGTTCCCCCAGCCCCCTCACATAAACCCCTTTGTGGATCTCCATCCACACTGCTATGTTAAAGATCATACAATTAACTGCTAATTTAACATTACCAAAACTACCAATCAATATCCATTATTAATCCTGCTATCTATTAAAGAGTGTTCTGTGCACACCTTAAAATAACTTAGTTACATTGTGCTTGTTTACATTAATATTCACGTTTTTGGACAGTATTTTTTTCCCCACTGATGTAAACGTGTAAAGTACAAAAATAGAATTGCTTGGAAATCACCTGACCTGTCTAAGATTTGCTGTCTTAGCTGTTTGACGTGGTGGAAACTCTCTGGATTGCAGATATCAAAGACCAAGATGAAGACTTTAGTGTTTCTGAGGCCCCAGAACTGTGGATCTAAACAATCCTGGTAGGAGGAGGAAGCAGAGTTAAAATAACATAATTACATCATCTCTGAATTTATTATATATGGTGTTTACATTGCAATCTTCATTTGTATCTTGCTTCTGAATACATTGAAGACTAATTTGATTCGTCCTGCTAGAATTGTGTGGGAAGCAATGGGTATATTAGGGATGTCCACTTCTGCTTAAGATTAGTGGGAGTTAAATTCCCAGGCAGCATTGCTATTGGCAGATGCCACCATTAAAGGAACACTGTAGTGTGAGGAATACTAACATGTTTTCTAACATTATAGTGCTGTTCCACTATATTTGAACTAAGTGGCTAAGTATACAAAGTGGCTGTTTAGGTCCCTGGCCTACCTCAGATGGGAAATAAAAGATATTTAAACTTACCTTTCCACTCTCACCCCACCAGTCTCCATGGCTGAGATCATCGGTTTTGATGATCTCAGCCAATCCAATGCTTTTCCATAGGAAAGCAATGGGAGGCTATTTTGCATGCGCAGCGAAACAATGCACCAATCTGCATCTCCTAATACAGACGTATTGAATCACTGCATCTCTGTGGGGAGCGTTCAGTGTCTCTGTGCAGAGCGTGGAGATGCTGAACATAGGTGATGCAAGTTGCAACCCTGAGATAGAAAACACATCCAGTGGCATCTGAGTGACTAACACTGGAGGCGTCCCTAGGCAGCAATGTAAACACTGCCTTTATAATACTCAGCCTTCAGTGACACCAGAACATTTACATTAATAAACACTCATTCCGTTCTTACTCTAACCATTTCAACATCTCAAATTTATTTCACCACTTTACTAACTAAACTCTCCTAAAACGCACAGTTTTTGCCACTCTTTGTACCCTATGGATTTTAATGACGTGTTAGTCACCCCATAAAATATTCTGATGTTACTTTCCTGCTTGCAACATTTTGAGCCTCCTTGATGGGTCGGAGGGCAGAGATTCTCCTGCATGCAGTGTAGAACCAAATGACAAGGAGCTTTAAGCAGGGCAGATCCTAGGGTCAAAAATGCCTGGTTACAGAATTGTTTTTTTGCGTTTCAGGTGGGTCTTGTCATCTTACTAACTCCTCTCCACTACAAATGCCCAGTCCAAACATGCATGTTTCTATGGCAACAATTCCACCTCTCCATCTATAACCAGGATAGTTTTACATGGAGAGATAGCAATAAGGCCACTAAGACTAGGCCATGCTCGGGCACTAGTACAAGGTCTGCATCCAGTAGTGTTAGTCGCCTTTTCCTTATCATTAAACCATGATGTATAATCATGGAAGCCAGTACCCTCCATATTGCAGTCTGGGGACCCCTGCATGTCTCCAGGCTCAGCTTCTCGTAAGTGTTATCCATCAACGCCTTGCTCTCCCGGTTCTCAGTAGACATGGTGGAGGTAGATACTGTGGCAGTGGCCACCTCTCAGCGCACCCTGTGCTACCTCCCGACTGCCTCCACACCAAGATGGCGGTGCTAGCAAATGCGTCATGGTCACGTGATGATAAGGATGCCATCGGGGCAGGGCAACCCTCGGCAGGCTCTGGCTTGACCTTGATCCCGCTCCTGCCACACCACACACATGCATATGCAGGCTGGAGACCTGGTTCCTCCCCTTCTGCCTCAGCTACCTGGTGCACTCACCCAGGACCAGCTCTGGCTTCAAGACATAATGCTAGATCCTAACTAGACCTAAAGTGGAATTTGCATAATTTGCAAAGACCCATGACGGTGACAGCAAGCAAAGGTGAATTTTACTTACCTGAACCTGTCCCATGTGGGAGCTGCCATCATCTTCCTGCCAGCCCTCTTCTGCTTCTTCATCTGACATGAGTCTCTATCATTGTTTTACTCTTGCCCAGTACAACAATGACTATGGAGGATCCCGCAAGACCATGGAATCTTCCATAGATAGAGCTAATTTCCCTACAGTTGTCAGTGGTGTGGCTGAACGACTGACAAGGCCTGATGGTGGTAGCTCCTCCTAGTACCAGGTGTAGGAAAATTACATTACCTTGTCTCAGTATATCTTTTGACTGGGTTGAAATTCTTAGTGAAATTCCAACATAGTCAATGTGAGTATTTCATCCAAGATTCAATCTTTATAAAATACTCATTTTGCCGCTTTTGATAGTATATTCTAATTGTGCCCTAGGTTTACACATACCTTCCTTCCTCAAGTTACTTACAGTAATATTAACCTTTAACACTGTATCCATAGCTTAAACAAATACAGTGCCAAGCAAAGCAAACAATCAAAAAAGGCTTTTGACCAAATTACAATTCTCAGTAGGAGATAATAGAAACCACAAATATATGAGCTATTTACTAAATGCTATTACAGTTTCACAGGCATAAAAAAAAAAAAACAAGAAAAAAAATCTAAATATAATTATGATGTGATATAAGTGCTTTGCCTAGTAATTAACCCTTTCAGTGCTGCAGAAGAAGCAATGCTTAGCTCACACTTCAAATTGTACAAAAAATTTTACATGCCAAGGTCCTACAGACCCCCACATGCATTATTTTACCATGTTTATACCAGCAGGTATTTTCTTACAGGTTTGTTGCTGTTGTAGCTGCAAGCAGAAAGGAATTTCAATGAATTCAGCTGAACTTAAACACGGCAGCGGTATTCTCTCTACTGACTTCTGAGCGTTACTTATTGTTTCAAATATGCCGATTTTTATTGGCTTTTAAATAAATGACCTGGAATATGTACAGCCTTCCTTTAAAGTATTAATTTATAGATTCCATAACATGAAAAATCATATCAAAATCATAACCCACTGGTTCCCATTAAAGAGTAAATGTCAGGGGGGCAGGGCTTGTCACCGCACCTGGAGCAGATGCCATTGCTTTGAGCTCCGACACTGTGCCACACAATCTACCGAAATCTGAGAGCATCCTGCTCAATCACCGGCTAAAAAGGACTCGGACAGCTGCAGCATTAACTGCCGCACCCACAGATACCCTTCTTTTCCGCTCCGGGCACAAAAACCCGAACCCGAGGCCCTAAGGTCTACCGCATGGGCGAACTTACTGAAAGACCCGGATGGTGGAACAGGTCTGCGTGAGGAAGGTGAAATGGGGCGCAGTTCGCAAAAACAGCCCATACAAAACCCGGAATCACAACGGGACATCAGCCACATGCTGCTGGCTCCCCCCTCACAGCAGGCCCCACCACCCCGCTCGGCCTCCCCAGCATCCTCGGTAGACGAGGACCACCTCCAGTTCCCACCTGGTGCTGACACACTTGGCAGGAGAACACATCCCGGCTTCTAAAAGGGACATACAAATATGCTCGCAGGCCTGCAGCAAAAGTTGAAGCAGATGTAGAGGCTGCCCTCTTCTGCTTCTTCATCTGACATGAGTCTCTATCCAGGGCCAGATTAAGAGCCCAGTGGGCCTGGTGCTGACAATTATGACGGGCCTAATTACAGAATCATATCGACCAAAAACAGTAAAACCTCCCAAGCGTCATGTATCTGATGGAGATGGTGCTGGAGAGATAGAAAACAGCAGGTATAAGAAAACGCATACCCTAGGCTAATCTCTCTCTAATTTATGTTTTCATTTTTCAAGTAAATCCATAACCCCTAACAACAGTGTCCAGTCAAGCAGGAAGGTAAAAGGGTGTGCCATTGACACAAATCACGTAACCTGCCAAAAGGGGCGAACATGCCCAAAAAGAGGACATGTCTGCCCAAAGAATTAGAAGGCAGTCTGGCATGAATGCATGTCAGGCTGCCTGCCAATCATGCATCTGGCCAACTAAGGGCATACTATGCAGACAGCACCCTGAGCTTGGCATAAATGCATCTAATGATGCGCTCACTCAACGCTTTCTAAGGACTGTCCCCTAGCACTCGCTGGTCCACTTGTCTCCTTACCTTCTTAGTAGCAGGCAGAAGCTCCTGGTATATAGTCTGGGACAGAGAAAAGCTGTATGTAGTGAGTGGAGAAGAAAGGGAACATGCCACAGTGTTAGAGAGACCAAAGTCATCATTACCTTAAAGGATCACTATAGGGTCAGGAACACAAACATGAATTCATGACCCTATAGTGTTAACACCACCATCTAGCCCCCCTGGGCCCCTCATGCCTCCATAAATATAGCAAAATCTTACTATATTCAAGCCTGAAGCTGTAACTCTGCATGCTGTTAGACTCATAAAAACAAGCAGTCTGCTGACATCATTAGAAGTGGTGGCCTGATCCAATCACAGTGCTTCCCCATAGGATTGGCTGACACTGACAAAGAGGCAGATCAGGGTCAGAGCCAGCATGATTCAAACACAGCCCTGGCAAATCAGCATCTCCTTATAGAGATGAATTGAATTAATGAAGTTCAGTGTCTGCATGCAGAGGGAGGAGACATTGAATGTTTGGATGCATTTTAGGCAGCCATGACCCAGGAAGGATCTCTAACAGCCATCTAAGGAGTGGCCAGTGAAGTTATCACTAGGCTGTAATGTAAATACTGCATTTTCTCTGAAAAGACAGTGTTTACAGCAAAAAGCCTGACAGTAATGATTCCACTCACCAGAATAAATTCCATAAGCTGTAGTTGTTCTGGTGACTATAGTGTCCCTTTAACTATATTCATTGTCAGCCAGTCCACATAAGGTTTGTTCCCATACATCCCTCTTAAGTTTCCATACTTAAATAAGAGTATGTGAAAAGTAGTTAGGGTTTCCACCTTTCTTGGAAAAACATACCAACCTTACTAATTTGCATAATTAAATATGTATGGGTGATATCACATGATGTAAATCACAAGGAGAAAATGCTGTAAAATCACCAAAAAACTACTTAGTTTGATTCTGCTGTATAGATGGATTCCTCCCAGTGTCCTCATGACTCAGTGCCCCCATGTGTCGATTACTCCAGATCTCAGTGTTCCTATGTATCAGTGTCTCAGCGCCCCATGTCTCCCAGTGTCCCCTAGTGTCATGTCCCCAGGTCTCCCAGTGATCCTATGTATCACAGTGTCTGAATGCTCCATGTCTCCCTGTGTCCCCATGTATCCCAGGGTCCCCATGTCACTAGGACACTAGGAAGACGGGGAGACCTGGGGGCACGGGGAGACCTAGGAACACGGAGAGACCAGTGACACTGGGAGACTAGGGGACTCTGGCTAGGACACATGGGGACAATGGGAAAATAGGGGACACTTGAAGACACCAGGGACACAGAACACTAGAGACACTGGCTGGGGGACATGGGGACATTGAGACATGGGGGGACTGGGAGACATGAGGACACTGAGACACCAGGGCCACAAACACTAGGGACACTAGCTTGGAGACATGGGGACATTGTGACACTTGAGGCACTGAGAGACATGGAGGTACTAGGAGACATGGGGACCTTGAGACACTGGCAGACTGGGGGCACTGGGAGACAAGTGGGCACTGAGACACCAGGGACACTGAATGGGAGACATGGGGACACTGTATCCCCATGTGTCTGTGTCATAATGTTTCCCCATGTCCCTTAGTGTCTCAGTGTCTGCCATAATGTCTCCCAGTGTACCTTAGTATCTCAGTGCATGTCTCCTTGCAGCCTTTCACCCCAACCCTTACTTCCCTGAGCTGCAGGCTGTCTCTGCAGGGTGGGAGTTGCTGTCTGGCCTCTCTGTGCTGTATAGCTGCACCCCTGCAGATCAGTGAGTATAGACAGGCAGGGAGGGATATGCTGGAACTTCCTAACCCTGCCTGTCTCCACATACAGCGACCCCTGCTGGCCAGTGCTGGTATTGCATAGTAATCTCTTGTTTATACTCAGAAAAATACCAGCATTTGTATTGCCAGTATCACTGCAATATTGGCACCAGCCAGGCAGCCTTAAATACGGGCTGTGCCAATAAAATAAAAGCCAGGTGGAATCCCTAAGAGTAGTGTGTGGAAAAAAAAATGTGTGTGGATTTTTTTTTTAAATCAATGGGCCTATTCCATGGGCCTGGGCCTGGAGCTGCAGCTCCATCAGCCCCTATGTTAATCCGGCCCTGTCTCTATCATTCAGCAGACCTGAAACAAGACCATCTTGCTCTAAGTGAAACAGTCCAACAGCTACAAACAGCACAGGCCATGAAAGGGGCAGGAAAAAGAATTTGAAAATTAGAGAGGTTCCTGATACGCTAAGAACTGCCTTATTTCATTAGACGCCTGGTGGGCACAGTCCTACCGACTAAACAGGCCAAACAGTTCTTATTTGACGGAGTATACAGAATCGCCAAGTCGCCGCAGGGCCCCACTTTGGCTCCACGAGATCTCATCTTACGCTGCTGCACTATGACAGACAAGTTGGGACTACTAGCTGCATTCTGAGGGAAGACCCCATATTATTTTGAGACATGCCAACTATCCCTCTTCCAGGACTTAAGTAGAAATACACTCCTATGGTGTAAATCAATGCAGGAAGCAGGGATTACTTACAGGTGGGCGACACCGAAGACCTTCTGGGTCTCCAAAGAGGGACAGAACTACAAGGCCTCAGACCCCAAGGAAGGCCCAGCCCTGTTGGCTACATTGGGACTGTCTAACCAACCCACGGCCATAACCCCTCGCCCTCAACCGCAGAACACGGAGGACATAGAAGTCTCCACACCCAGAGGGAAACGAGGCGCCACGACTTGACTACAAGCTCACCGCTACTATATTTCATTTACCTGTTGGGACACTTTATGTTATTTAAATGGTTTGATTTTATTCTTTTTCAAGTATCTCTAGTTCTGCCTAGCTCGTGTGGGCCAGCTAACAAAGCCAACACATGGTCAATAGGACGTGAGTGAGGCATCCAGAGAACATATCTCTGTGCTCCGGTGCACAATCCTTCACCCCCGCCATCCCCCCTTCTGTCCCCAGGGTACAGTGGCATCGCAATCCTTGGAGCTTCCCTGTTACAAGCACAACACCGGTCTGTCCATTGGTACCTCAACAACTCAGCTGACCACCTAGCTAGACCGCACACGCATTCACAAGCTCTACCATCCTCAGACCTGAACAAACTAGCTGTGTTTTACACGAAACAGGCACCAGCACCTCACCAAGCCCATCCATATCTAGGTTCTTCAGCACTAGACATTAGGCAACACCAAGCGACGACCCACTAGACACAGAATGTCAATCACTCTCATCCACGGGGTGCCAACCACAAACATACCACAGTGGTAGAGCCAGTCATAACTGTTGAGGTCAACCGAATTAGACCCTTTGTCCACCTAGCCTTACCAACACCAGACCCCGACAGCATTGTCGGCAACCTCAGAGTGTTTTTCACTCTTTTTTTTTTTTTTTAAACATTCTTTATTTATTTTCACTTTTTCAGAAGCATTTTGCAACCGTGGTGTATACATTTGTCTTATGATATAACATGTTTGACATTGTTATGTGACTAGACCTTTTGTCTAGCTGGTTTCCAGCTTTGCTGTTGCATTAGTTGGATGTTGATAGGTTGCACAATGGTAAATCCATAATATACCACGAAACTTAAATACCAACATAAAAACATACAAAAATACAAAAGTATACAATCAAGTATAAACATAGTCAACCTTTGGTCTCAGTGGTTGGGTGTTATGCTCGTGGGAAGTTTTAGTGTTTCTGTGCTATGGTTTTGGGTGTCTGCTGGAGTCTGTTGTGGGTTGGCCCCCCTGAGTTGCGGTTGTGGGCCCCTGTAGGTTCTCCCCTGTTTGTTTTGCTTTTGGGTTTCGCCCCCTGATCTCCCCACCCTGTTATGCTTCTGTTGGCCATTTATTGGGCCTGCGGCGTAGCCAGGTTCGGCGACATCAGCGCCGGCTCGCTCAGCCATGGGTCCCAAATTTTGTGAAAGTGGCGTGACGTTTCGTGGACTAGGGCTGAGATTCTGTCCATTTCAATGGCTTCCCTGGTTTTGCGGATGATTGTGGCTAGAGTGGGGACCTCCGGGGAGCCCCAGAGTTCTGCTATTGCCCGTTTTTCACTCTTAATAATGATTCACCACTTTTCGTTACCACCGACCAAACTTATAAAAAAGTGCAAACTGTATTTCTTTATGCCTATATATGTACCAAGTTGGAATGTTGAACACTTTGTCATGGCTGTTGTGGCGATTCAAGGTATATGTTATAATTCTTGCACTGGAAAATAAAGAATAAAAAAAAAAAAAGACTAAATGTCAGATGACTTAGTAGCTACCTGGCATTGCAAATGTGAGTATAAAATCACTTAAGTGAATGTTAAGTATTTTGTCTAGAGTCCAATCCTGGCCCTCGTGTTGGTCTACAACTCCCACATTTATCAGCCAGCCTGTATAACAGTCCAAAAACAGCTGAAGAGCATTGGTTCGATACCTCTAGCCATAAGCTATTCCCAGGAGTGGACCCCATAGTACTGTAACTAGCTTGCCAAAATACCATATTTTGTGAAAGGCTTTGTTTGGCACTTTTCAGTTCCTGAAGGTCGATTCATCCTTCTCATGCAGAAAAAAGTACTATGTAGTACCTGCATAATTGGGAATCCCTCCAATGCTATAGTTAATGGGGGTGTTTATTGGCCAGGCAAATGGGACACTCTGCTTCATACTTTAATGTTGCACTACCACAATTAATGTATTATCCACTATCCCATATCTCACAGGTTTTCAAGGGGGTGTGACAATTTGGGTACCAGGTAAACATGGTGTTGGAGACAGGGAGGCAAACATTGTGTTTAGTGGGATTTCACTTATTTTTTTAAATTCTTTATTTTTGCAGTGCAGGTGATAACATGCATGTATATGGTGCCACAACAGCATCATCAAGCAGAATTAGTTAGACATTTTGGTACATAGGTATGGCAGGTTATTACTGTGCACTATATTTTATGGAATATAACGTGATAACATGCTTAAGAATCAACTTGTAGATAACATAGAAAAACATACTTTGCTTATTTGTATTTATAATAGAGTGAAATAGTGTATAGCTCAGAATAGCCATGTTGTGGGACAGTGTCATAGTGTAGTGAGCTATATAAGTTGTATGAACTTAACATGAGTAGGTCTGGTGTAGACAATCATAGTTGAACTGCTTGAATAGTAGTTAATAGCCAGGTTACATGCTAGATAAGACTGCTCAACTGTCTGTTAAATATTTCACATCTGGTATTGTTTAAAAGCTGTATGGTTGCTTGCTAGATAAGTTAGGGTATGGTATGAACCTCCTGGGGTCCAGCCCAAGTTCTGCAGATACATTACTAATTCAAATGTGTAGCTAAGTCAATTGTTAGGCAGTTATAACAAATTAAGACAAATTAACATCTGAAGTGGGTAACAGGCCTAATAGAAAGATTAACTAGTGGCTGGGGGGTCGTGTTCTCAGCCTCTGTGGAGCAGTCCGCCTTCTCTGCACGATTTTCATCTGAGTCCTTGGTTGGGCAATGCTGGTATGGCGTAATTGAGTCCATCAGAGGTGGCTCAGCGGCAGGCTGCATGTGAGGTGCGCCCTCTTTCTGGGCCCTGCGTGTAGCCAGCTGTGCTCGATACAGGACATAGTATAGAGGTGGCGGTTCGTCGGGGGTGATGTAAGTCCTCCCTCCAGCCCCAGGCCGGTGTGAAGGCCGACACATCCTTAAATCACAGACCCGGTCTTCTCTGTGGGCCGAGTCTTTCCCATGTTGGGAAGATTGGGGGGACATGATGGTCTGCCGCCATCTGTGGCGGCCATCTCTCCGTCCGTGTGGGTGACATCTTCGTGTCAAGCCCTTGGTGGCCCTCGGCCCAGGTGGGCTAGTAATGCGGGGTGCAGGCTTTTCTGATTGCGTTAGGCCCGAGGGGGACCTCTGCTCCCTCTGTCTCCCGCTGCTCTTTTGTCTAACTTGAGGCTGGGGTGGTTGTAGTGGTTGGTGATTCTCCAGGGCAATCCAGAGTTGTCGAAAGTGCTCAGTCAGTCGCTGTAGCATCCAGTCTAGGGCTGGGTCGCATTGCTTGTGGGCCGTCTCTTCAGGCCGCGTTTCGGTCGCCATCTTGGATTAGCTCTCCTCATGTAGTTGGGCCCCGTTTCAGGTGTGTATGCAAATGCCTTTTTGCTAGGTTTAGGCAGTCGAAGAGGGACCGGGATGACCCCCGCCAGTCCAGGGGGGAGGAGGGGTATGAGAGTGCGTGGTCTCATGAGTTACTGGTGAGCGGGAAGATCGGCCGCTTCTCCTCGACCCTGGTATTATAGGCCGCAGTGGTGTCCCTCTGGTCTCCAGGGTCCAATCTGTTTGGCGGAATTTCGAGGTATGTCACTTGGACCCCTCTGGGCTTTATACCGCCCGTCAGTGGGTTTAATCTCATGTTTGCAAGGGTAAAAACTTCTTTATTGGCTGTTTCAGCAGGAGCTCGGGACACACACATCTGCTCCTCTTGACGGCTAGGCTCCGGCCCCGGGATTCACTTACTTGTTGGTTTTTGTTTTGTTTATATTTTACTCATTTATTTTTACATTTGACTATTTGGGCTTCCAGTGGTCATTGTTGGTTACAGCAAACTTGGTTTTAATTGGCCGTAGTTAGTTGACTTTTTGATGTTGACTGCTTAATACTTGACAGCTAACCAAAAAATTCATATGACACTATGCTGAATTGACCGAAGTGTTTGAAGAAGCCTTGGCTGCCTGGATGGATTGATAACATGTATTTTATTCCTTCTTTGTTGTTCCATTGGATTTAATCTACATGCTGGAGATTACAGATAGGAGCTCCATCTGCACACTGGTTTATGGAAGGAGTTGGCTGTTTGAACTGTAGGAGGTAATGTATCGCCCTACATATGGTGAAACAGCAGTCTTTTTGGTGTTTGTGTGCACTTTGATTTTTATCTCTTTTAAGGATCCCATATGTTCCATCTTGTAGGCTAAAATTAAAACTAGAGGAGGGAAGTCACGTGTTACTTTTCTGTCTTCTGTGAAGTTAGGAAAGCTTTCTGAAAGTAACTTGCGGTAACTTTGAAGGAGCATTCATTAAGCTTTGTCTTCAGGGTGTCCATATAATATACCTCTTATTATATTGAACATCTGCAACCCCTCTGTACATTCTGCACATTTAGTGATCAGCTGACCTTACAAAGCTTTCTCAAAAGCCCAAGTGGTTTTAATTTAATTCTTTAAAAACAAATTTATGTTATTAAAGGAACACTCCAAGCACTATAACCACTACCGCACATTGTAGTAGTTATGATGCTTGGAGTGTTTCTATAAGTGTTTTGTTTTTTTGTGTGAGTTTTTTTTTTTTTAAGTAAAGGGATAGGTAACTACAGCTATCCTACTTTGAGCTCATACTCTCATGATGGTCAACCAGTCGGCATGCTTGTTCAACATCTTGACAATCATACTCCTTACTCAGAATGCCTTCTCTGATTTTCTTTTCCACAAAATGAGATGCTCTGTGTTGACTAAAGTATAGAACGGAGAATCCTGAAGATACAGTAAAGGTACTGAGAAATAGCAGAGTACAATCAGATAATTATTCACAGTTTTGATACCTGGATATTAATTGTAGTGAATGTCCCAGGGAGTCCATGCTCCCTTGTAATTTACTGAGATCAAAGCAGAGTGCAACTGTTTTGGACAGAGAAAAGGGAAAAGGCCAAACCGGAAGCATAACTGAATTGAAAAATGCCAATTTTAGCTTTACATTTGAAATCCATTTTTAATTCACGTTGAATTCCTTTCAATTCTCACATGTATGAAAGTTGCAGCATTTAATGTTATCAAGAACTATATATGGTAAGTAGTACATGCTTCTGATGCCTATATTAGATATTTAGACCTTATAGTTCAGGGCAAGATGAAATGTTTGTCATAAACATGGAACTGATTAAATAAATATATTATTTCAAATCACTGTGTTGGCATTACCACCAAATACATAACATCACATCACAAGACTTGCAGCCCTTCCAAAATGGAATTAAAGGGTTACTCCAACCCTTTTAAATGCTTTATTGATTTTAATTAACGATGGCCTATTGAGCACTATTCTTTAGGTCGTCCTCGTCCCGATTGTTAGAAATTAATTTTTAAAGAAGTTTTATTTACCTGAAATCCAATTCTGTGCGAAGCTCCCAGCGCAGCTTTTCCATGGCTTTCCATTCCACAAGAAGCCACAGATTGGACCATTTAACCGGCTCAGGGTGCATGCACATGCTCTGGGCCAACAAGGCGAGGGAGGGAGACAGGCAGGGAGTGAGGAGGGAAAGATATATAAAGTGCACTCATTAGGTAGGCAGGGAGGTCTACCACAGGAAAGGAGGAAGGGGTAGAGGAGACATCCAGGCCTCCCCTTGCAGGTTCTGCATTATTATTGACTGGGCAGCAATAGCTGTTTTTTTATTTTTCAGACATGCCACCACTCACAACAAGGCAAGTGGCGACATTGGGGAAGTATAAAATCTCCATTGTACTAATGTGGTGGTCATAATGGCCTTTCACAAGCCTTTTGTATTAGAGAAAACTATAATTTTGTTATAAAAACCTGTTTTCCTAACATTATAGTGTTTCTCTGCCCCCCATGCCTCCAATCCAATCTCTATCTTGGAAATTTTTGGTGGGAAGAACGGAACAAACTCATGATCAGCAGTAATTTATGGGATACATTGCTCCTCACCCTCTCTGTAATAATATCATGATTCTGTTTGTTTGTTTATTTGGCAAATTCATATTTGCATTAGCATTGTTGGGCCATAGTTCATCCCCACATACAATCAGCTAGACCTGTTATAGTCAAATACTTCACCTGTCCTGCAGTGCCTGGGTAGCAGGGCATGTTGGGAAGATCCAAAATTATTAGCTCATACATCCTCTCACTTAGGACTGCTGTGGCACGGTGCAACTCCCGTTGCTCAGTCGGAATGTATCCCTCGTGGAATTCATGTGCCACAAATTGTCGGATGATGGAGGTTTTGCCAACCGCCGGTGCCCCCAGCACGGCCACCTGCACTGTCTGCACCATGATTACCAGAGCTTTTCCAAAGTTTGCCACTCAGCATTGCCAAATCATTTAAACCTGGTGCCACTTTTACCTAACATCGGGAAGTTATAGTGCAGCACACAATATGGATTCTAGAATGGAAGAAAGAGGTGTTACAAAGGTAGGTATTAACAAAGTAGCCAAGAGAAAGTAGGTCACTCAAAATAATTGAATCCAGGACAAGAATATTGACCAGGGCAAGCATGCATGATAACAAACAGAGGCTTTGTGAGACCAAGGGATATCCTACTTTAAAATCACAATGACACAAGCAATTAATGTAATTGACAACTATTGCTATTATCAACACAATGTATTCTGACTTATAGTACAGGAACACATATAACAAACAGAATACTGTCTGCTATCCAAATGTGATGCTTTATAATAAGATGTACAATAACACACTTGCTCATAAGTCAGACCAGATATATGAAAAATCTTAATTTTTTTTTATGATTTAACCAATGTTAGACCTCAGGGATAAGGCAAGGTCATTTAACTCTTTCAATAATGTAAGAAAATGCAGCACAAAGCATAGCTTACTGTTCTCTTACTGATAGGCTAAGGCAGTTGACCCCCAGGGATAAATGATACATTCTTGTTAGGAGGGGATGGTTATTTTATTGAATGGCTGATTACTTTTATGTTTTGAAACCTCAGTCAATTCAGCAAATAAAGATTTGGTAGACCTGTGCAAATCCACCACCTCTCTAGCTCTATAAATAACAACGATAAGCATGAATCAGAAAAGGAAAACAAAATAGCAAAGAAGATTCCATTCTAACAAATTAAACATTCTAGCAACATTCTACTAAACTGAAGATCAAGCTATATTCTGCAGATAAAAAAAATAAAACAACAAAGGTCATAAAACAAGGTCGTATTGACTGGATGGATGATGTTATTCACACGGCAAAGCAAACCGATAACAAAAAAAGACTTTTCATGAGGACCAATTAAAAAAACTGTGTGCATTCATATATTGTATCACCTTAAATAAGTCACATTAGCAGCACTGGATGCAGATAAGGTACACATGACATCATGGGATAACAGTACTTCACATAAAACAGATCTGATCTTTTGAGATCCCTACAATCCCTGCATAAGCAATTGCCTTGAATGAGTTTTATTGTGAATTTAGATAAACATATAGAGATCATATACTTACCACTTTTGCCTCCTTGTACCCAATCCTCAAATTCAACCTTCAGCACCATGGACAGCAACAACACATCCAGCCCTCAATCCATTTATAACCCCCTCCCCCATACACTCCTGCTCATTGCTGCTGAGCACAGCAGGATTCAGGGGCACATGCTGTAGAATACAAATGAGCATTAACCCCCCTAGCTTTACATTACAAGACGATGCTTGTCTCACAAGTCCTCAGCAATGCTCCGTCCGAAAGACATGGATTGCATACACATTCCAAGGAGAGATTTTATCCAAGTAACATACAGTGAATCTATAAACATGGCACTAACTGTAAAGAAATACAATATTCACTGTCTGAACATTGTTTTGAATAGACCATTCCTTAATCCTTGTATAGATTGTGTCTTTGTCAACATATCTTAATCCCAGTGTAGATTGTTTCTCTGTCAACATTCCTTAACCCCAGTGTAGATTGTGTTTCTCTCAACATATTTAATCCTAGTGTAGATTATGTCTCTGTCGATATACCTTAATCTCAGCACAGATTGTGTCTCCATCAACATACCTTAATCCGAGCATAGATTGCATCTCTGTCAATATATCTTACTCCCAGCATAGATTGTGTCTCGGTCAACATACCTAATCCAAGCATAGATTGTGTCTCCATCAACATACCTTAATCCCAGTGTACATTATGTCTCTGTCAATATACCTTTATCTCATCATAGATTGTGTCTCTGTCAACATACCTTAATCCTGATGTACATTATGTCTCTGTCAACATACCTTAATCCTGGATAGCTTGTGTCTCCGTCAACATACCTTAATCCTGGAGTAGATTGTGTCTCTGTCAACATACCTTAATCCCAGCATAGATTGTGTCTCTGTCAACATACCTTAATCCGAGCATAGATTGTATCTCCGTCAATATATCTTACTTCCAGCATAGATTGTGTCTCCGTCAACATACCTAATCCCAGCATAGATTGTGTCTCCATCAACATAATTTAATCCCAGTGTAGATTATGTCTCTGTCAATATACCTTTATCTCATCATAGATTGTGTCTCTGTCAACATACCTTAATCCTGACGTACATTATGTCTCTGTCAACATACCTTAATCCTGGCGTAGATTGTGTCTCCGTCAACATACCTTAATCCTGGCGTACATTATGTCTCTGTCAACATACCTTAATCCTGGTGTAGATTGTGTCTCCGTCAACATACCTTAATCCTGGAGTAGATTGTGTCTCTGTCAACATACCTTAATCCCAGCATAGATTGTGTCTCTGTCAACATACCTTAATCTGAGCATAGATTGTATCTCCGTCAATATATCTTACTCCCAGCATAGATTGTGTCTCCGTCAACATACCTAATCCCAGCATAGATTGTGTCTCCATCAACATAATTTAATCCCAGTGTAGATTATGTCTCTGTCAATATACCTTTATCTCATCATAGATTGTGTCTCTGTCAACATACCTTAATCCTGGCATAGATTGTGTCTCCGTCAACATACCTTAATCCTGGCATACATTATGTCTCTGTCAAAATACCTTATTCCTGGCGTAGATTGTGTCTCCGTCAACATACCTAATCCCAGCATAGATTGTGTCTCCATCAACATAATTTAATCCCAGTGTAGATTATGTCTCTGTCTATATACCTTTATCTCATCATAGATTGTGTCTCTGTCAACATACCTTAATCCTGGTGTATATTATGTCTCTGTCAATATACCTTAATCCTGAAGTAGATTGTGTCTCTGTCAACATACCTTAATCCCAGCATAGATTGTATCTCCGTCAATATATCTTACTCCCAGCATAGATTGTGTCTCTGTCAACATACCTTAATCCCAGCATAGATTGTATCTCCGTCAATATATCTTACTCCCAGCATAGATTGTGTCTCCGTCAACATACCTTTATCCGAGCATAGATTGTAGCTCCGTCAATATATCTTACTCCCAGCATAGATTGTGTCTCCGTCAACATACCTAATCCCAGCATAGATTGTGTCTCCATCAACATATCTTTTTTTTTCAAATTTGACAATTTTTATTGTTTTGTCATTCTTTAGGGATGAGGATACAGAAAAAAGAAGGGAGGGATGGGGAGGGGGGTAGTTGCAATTCCATAAAGAGTGTGTACAAGTTAGTCATCATATACAGTCGCTGTAATTACATTGTTGGAGTACACATAATTACTGTTGAACCGTGCAAGGCAGTGACATTCGTGCATTGGCCTTTGGGATATATACTTTTCCCGTACCCTTGGAGTGGATGAGAGGGAGAGAACTAGGGCCTGACCCTATGCTTCAGTGGTATTGTTTGCCATAATTTCCCTGGGGACTAGATATGTGCTTGAAGTCATTTGAGGGTTATTTCGGTTGCTCTTCAAGTTTACCTTTGGACCTCTAGTGTTGTATGGAGTGGTCGTACTCCTTGTGGTCAGTTACTTTGGCATTCCCGTCTGGTGGGGTATGCTTTGGCAAGTATTCTGGCCTCGTGTGGGTCGAGGTCATTCACGACATCAGCTCACGATGGGAGGTTCCCTGTTGTGTCATTTTTGTATGTTTCCCACTTATCCCATGCTATTTCCCAGTATCTTCGGTACTGTTTGTGTGGTTTGTTGGGAGAAGTGGTTTGCCTTCTCATTGTGGTTTCAAAGTGGCCCGCGTGGCTTATTTGTTGTATGCACATGGGGATGGAGGGTATAGTTTGTGATAGCCAGTTTTGTGCTAGAGCGCCTAGGGCTACTATATTTATATGGAAGATGAGGTACCTATCTGGTTTAGGTAGCGACTCTGGGATATTGAAGAGCACATAGTTGTCCAAATTATGAGGTAGGGTGCATCCTGTACTGTGTGTGATGATTTTGGATATGTCTTTCCAGTATTGTTGCAGGTATGGGCAGGTCCACCATATGTGTGCCATTGTTCCTGTGCCTGATTTGCATCTCCAGCAGTGTGTTGGAAGGGATTGATTATATTTGTGTAGTCGTATGGGTGTAAGGTACCATCTATATAGGAGTTTTTTGGCAAGCTCTATGTGTTTTGAGCATAACGTGAAGGATTTGGGGGTTAGGATCATGCGTTCCCATTCCGGTTCAGTAAATTGTTTGTGGGTTTCTGTTTCCCACGCTTTGATAAATCTGTGTTCGTGCAGTTTGCATTTTGTGGGTAGTGTTGTATAGATAGAGGATATGACTTTCTGGGGCGGTGTGGGACTAATATACATTTCCTCAAATTCTGTCATCTTTTGTGTCTGAGTGTTGATTGTTTTCTCCTGAATTTGTATGCGCAACCATGAGTCTAATTGGCGGTATGAATAATGTGCTACCGTTGGGAGCTTATGTGAGGCCTGTAATGAGGCGAAGGTTGCTAGTCCCGTATTGGTGAGTATCTGGTGTAGGAATTGTATGCCGTGTCTTTCCCATATTCTGTAGTTAAAATCCGGGATAATGTGTGCGATTGATTTAAGTGGCATGGCTTTGGAAAGGATTGAGTTATTTGTTAGGAGGGGACGGGCTCCGTCCCATATTTTTAGTGATAATGTTGTGGTTGGTAGGCAATCTTGTAGTTGCGGCCGGGTATGTTTCGGTATCCACATTAAGTTGTCAGTACTAATATTATTGGCCCATTCTGCTTCTAGATGTTTCCATTGAGGTGCTTGTGCGCCTGGTCGTGTTTGGATAATGCTGCTAAGTACGGTTGCATGGTAGTACTGTTTAAGATTTGGCAGATTCATACCCCCTTCTTTGAGCGGTAACTGCAGTACCTTTAGGGCTATACGTGCCCTTTTGTCATTCCAAACAAATCTGGATATCCAGCGTTGGATTGTGGTAAAGTAAGTGGCGGGTATATGTATCATAAGTGATCTGAAAAGGTATAACAACTTAGGGAGGATTATCATCTTGATCGCTACCATGCGTCCCGACCAGGATATGAATGATGTTTTCCATTCTTGTAGTTGTTTCTTTATTTCTATACTGAGTTTGCCATAATTGGCGTTAAATAATGCGGTGTGTGATTTTGTGAACCGTATACCTAGAAATGTAATGTAGTCAGTTCTCCAGTCGTATGTGTAGGTGTTTTTTAGTTTATAAGTGACCTCTGGGGGGAGACCTTTGCAAAGAGCTTGCGTCTTAGAAATATTTAGTTTGTAATAGGACATTTTACTATAGTTTTCTAGTGTAGAGTGGAAATGTGGTAGGGAGGCTTCGGGGTCTTGTAGCGTCAATAGTACATCGTCCGCGAATAGTGTAAGTTTATGTTCTTTGTTTTGTGTTTTGATGCCTAGGATTAATGGGTGTTGTCTAATGAGAGTCGTGAGAGGTTCTAACGCCAGTACGTATAAGAGGGGTGAGAGGGGGCATCCCTGTCTGGTCCCATTTGTGATCTCAAACGGATCCGACAGGAACCCTGCGTTGATGAGTCTAGCGGTGGGTTTGCTATATAAAGCCTGTATTGTGTTCATGAACTCTGGTGGGAATTCGAACTTCGTTAAGGTCGCTCTGAGAAAGTCCCAATTCAGCCTATCAAAAGCCTTTTCGGCATCAAGTGACAGGAATAGGCATCCCGTTTTCCGTTTGTGTATGCTGTATAGTATGTCTAAAACTTTCCTAGTACCGTCAGTGCCCTGCCTTCCCTTTATAAAGCCAACTTGGTCTTCATGGACCAAGTCTGGAAGCATTGCAGCTAGTCTATTCGAGTATATTTTCGCCAGCAGTTTAAGATCTGTGTTAAGAAGTGAGATTGGGCGTAAGTTCTGTCCTTTGTCTGGCAATTTCCCTGGTTTGGGTAGTGTGGCTACATGGGCTATGAGCATTTCCTGTGGGATCGTCCCCGTGTGTATTATGGATTGAAAGGTTTGTTTCATGTAAGGAACGAGTGTGGGTGCGAAAGTTTTGTAGTATTGATTCGTGAATCCGTCTGGGCCCGGGGATTTCCCTGTAGGTAGTCTGGCAATTGTGTCCGTCAGTTCAGTTATCGAGATCTGTTCCGATAGTTTGTGTTTTTGTTCTTCTGTCAGTGTTGGCAGTGGTATTTGTCGTAGGTATCCCTCAATGTCTGTGACAGTTGGTTGATATAGGGTTTCATCTGTTTTTAGATTGTAGAGGGTGTTATAGAAGGTCACTAATTCCCTATTCATGTCTTGTGGATTCCATAGTTTTTGGTTACTTTTTGAGAGAATGTATGGAATCTTGGAGTTAGATTGCTTTTTGCGTAACATGTTGGCCAGCAGTTTGCTGGCCTTGTTCCCTTTTGCATAATGGTTCATTTTGAATTTTTTCAGAATGTATGCCGTTTTTTGGAATTGGTGGTCATTAATTTTGGAGGTGATGTTTTGGATTTCCGATAGGAGATCCTGTTTTTTTGTTTGGTAATAAGTTTGGGTCGTATCTCTTAATTGTATGAGCAGTTTCATCAGTGTTGCACGTCTTTGTTTATTGAGATATGATGCTCTGCGGATCAACAGTCCTCGTACGACTGATTTATGTGCTTGCCACAGAATCGGGGCCGTGGTCTGGGGGTTCTCGTTAGTAGTAAAGTATTGTTTAAGTTCTTGGTCTAGTGTGAGGGTGAAGTCTTGGTCGTGAAGCAGTGAGTTGTTTAGTCTCCATGAGCCTTTGCCTTTGTATGTGAATGCGTCAGTGAGTGTCAGTATCACTGGGGCGTGGTCCGACCATGTAATATCTCCATGTGTACATTGGTGCGTGTGTGGTAATCCTGTGCTGGTCATGAAAAAATGATCTATCCTAGAGTGGGTCTTGTGCACTTGGGAGTAGTAGGTGTAGTCCTTATCTCCTGGATGTAGTGTGCGCCACACATCGTATAAGTTAAATTGAATTAGCAGTTTATTAAGTTTGGCGCAGGCCGGTCTAAGAGATGCCAGTCTGGGTTTTTTTGCGTCCAGTGTAGTGTCCATTTCTGGGTCTAGGGTGTGGTTTAGGTCTCCACAGTATATTACTATGCCTTGTTGTACAGTACTTACTTTAGTCAGTATTTTATGTAGGAAGTGCCATTGATTGTCGTTTGGTGCGTAGATATTGACTATGGTGTATGTGATATCATTGAGGTTGCATATTAGGATGAGGTATCTCCCATTGGCGTCTTTAACTATTTTGAGTGGATCAAATGCCACTGATTTGTGTATTAGAATGCTAACTCCTCTAGATTTGTGGCTATGTGTGGAGTGGTATTGGTTTGGGAATTGTGAAGGGTCCAAGGAAGGAGATGTCTGCCTTTTGAAGTGAGTTTCTTGGAGGCAGATCACATCCGCGTTGTGGTTTTTCAGTTCTGTGCGCAATGTTTGGCGTTTTTGGGGGGTATTTAGGCCCCTTACATTATGTGAATATATTTTCATTATGGGGTTGGGCAGGTTGGAATTCTTCGTCTGTTGTTGAGTAGTTCAGTATAATGTTTAGTGATAGTCTGCCTCGGTATGCCAGCCATGGTGTGTGCCTGGTGATGAGCGACTTGCGGACTGTTTGCTTGATATGCATAGGTTTGGGTGTAGTGGGTTCTTGATCCTTCTCATGGTTTGCAACTAGGGGTAAGGATAGGTGGGGTATAAACCTGAGTCTCGTAGAGAACTCAACTATGTACAACAATGCCCAGATGTAGGGCTCGGTACTCCTTGGTAGTACCTGGGGTGTGGTGAGCATGTACTTTCTGCTCACGAAGGAGGCTACCTGGGCTCCTTCATTGTTTAGGTATTATCGTATTCCCCGAAATTCATGCCAAGCTAGTATCCCTGATTATGGGTTTGGTGCCTTATCTTAGTATAGGTACCGAGGTCAGAGGGAGTGCAAGTGCTGTTTTTTTTTTTTATTTTTTTTTTATTTTATATATCACCCCGGCAATTGCTACAGTGTGTTGGGGAAAGCTGCCACAGCTTCTTGTACTAAGAATGCTAGTGCGTCTGTGCTGTGCTTCGTGTCGGGGTATTTCGGTTAGCGTGTCCCCACCTTCCCCCCGACCTCTTGCTCCGTTTGATTCTAATATACAGTAGTAGAGTAATACTAATATTAACTTTTTTTTTTTTTTTTTCAGTTGTACAATCTTAGATAGGCATTCAGGTTGTGGTGCAGCTAACTTTGCGTCTGCAATTCAGCTTCACTTCAATTCCAGCAGGTTGGGGTCAGTAGGTTATCCATAACCCTTTTGTCTTAGGTGTGGGTTGGTGGGTGTGCCTACTCAATTAGGTAGGGGGTAAATCTGATCTAGATTTGGTCTACTTTTGGCATTCGGGGTTCTAGTGTGCGTTGGCGTGCGTGTAGTTGTTGTCTGTGCCATGGAAATGTGCGGGTTGAGGTGTCACAAGGTTAACAAAATTAGCATAAGCAAACATAAACAATTGGATCATTATATACATTACCAGCCTCTACTCGTTATATCTTATTATCAGTCCAGATTGGCTGGTATAAGTCTATTGATACTATACTTTGCGCCATTCACGATGCAGCATGGCAGATTCTCTAGTCGGCTTGCTTGGTGTGGGTAAGTTCCATTCCTTGAGGAGCTTTTCACCGTCTTCTGGCGAGGCCAATATCTTCGTCGCGCCGTCTTTGGTGATGAGAAGCTTGAGGGGGTAACCCCACCGGTAAGCTATTTGGTGCTGCCTGAGGATGATAGTGATGGGTTGGAAGGCTTTCCTCCTTCTCAGCGTCGCTGCGGATAGGTCCGGGAATATCTTTATATCAGCGTATTTGCCAAGTGCATTTTTATTTGTTCTGCTCTGTTTTAAGATTATTTCTTTAATATGATGGTAGTGAGCGCACAGGATGACATCCCTTGGGACTGAGGGTGGTAGGTGTGAAGGTTTAGGTATTCTGTGTACTCTATCCAAGAGGAGCATGTCTGGCGGTGTGTCTGGCGAGAGCACATGGAAAAATTCGTGCACGTAGGCCTGGAGGTCCGCAGGGGCCACCGTTTCTGGTATGCCCCGCAGTCGTAGATTATTCCTCCTCGCCCTATCTTCAATATCCATGAGCTTGTTCTCCATTGTGGATACTGTGGCTTGCAGTGCGTTCACCTGGTCTATTAGGTGGTTGTGTGCCTCTTGTGTTTCCTCTATCCTCTCCTCCACGCGGGAGGTTCTCGCTCCCAGCTCCCCTATGTCTTTCTTCAGGCTTGATAGGCCTTTTTCCCAGCCAGCCATCATTTTGCTGGAGAACGCTCCCAGCTGTTCCAAAAGAAATTGCTTGGTGACCGGCTCTTCCATAGTCTGGTCGGCAGAGTCTGTAAGGAGGTTGCTGTCGTGTGTTTCCTCCCCGCCATCTTGTTGGTGCTGCTGGTTTGTATATTTGTTTTGCGCGGCAGTTTGACCAAAAAAATTTTGTTTTTCGGTTTTGGAGGCTTGCCTTTTCTGCTTGGGTTGTGACATGTTCGTTTTTGGTTTGTCAGGGTCGTCTATTGCGGGTTTTGAGACGCCTTTTTCGGAGCCCATGTGCAGGAGCTAGAGATTACACGTCCATCTTGCTCCGCCGGTAGCCACGCCCCCATTCTCATAGCTTTTAAAGACTATTACTCCCCTCTTTACAACTTGAGACAAATACCGCCCTCTGCAACAGATATCCACAATTTCCTCTCGCAAAGGATACACTCCACTATTACACAAAATATCCGTGAATCTCTAGACCAACCTTTCTCAATAGATGAATGCTTAGACGCGATCAAGCACCTCCCATTAGGGAAAAGCCCAGGCCCAGATGGACTTACTGCCAAAAACTACAAGACGTATGCCACCATACTTGTCCCTTACTTAGCCAGTAGCCAAAATGGGGCTTGTGTTCACATATGTGTTTCACTATTTTCACTAATCAATTATTCATCACACCTGGATGGTTAAATGTTTATGGTAAAGTGCTACAAGCCACGAAAAATGGCAGTCCTTTGATTCAGTGCTTCCCACTGCACCCTTTTCATTTTCTAAGAAAGAATGTGTGATGGTAGTCACCATCAGTGGGGTTGGAA